AGTCTCCTCCTGGCAGAAATGTGAATCCAACCTGGCTGGCATTAGCCAGCAGCTGTACCTGGGCTGTACCTGGTCTTGCCCCATTTCTGAGGCAGTGAGTTGGCCACAGACAGTGTGGATGTGATCAATATGTTGTGTCCTGGGGATTCTCAACTAAAACCTTGAGCGAGTGAATGATTATTGTTTGTCTTCCTTTGATACACAGAAACAACATTCTGACATCTTTACCCAAGGAAATGGAAGCACTGACAAGACTGCAGATAATCAATCTTGCTTTTAACAGGTGAGCAACACTCTAGATTATTTTAATAAAATAATAATCAAAAGAACTGGGCTGAATTTGATATGATTTTCCTGTGATGTAAAAACAAGGAGACACTTGGCTGACAAGTTGTGGGCTTGAAACTCATGAAAGCCTTGTGTTTGTGTTGCCCTGTTTCTGACTTTCCCTGCTTTGCCTTTCTTTTCCTGAAGATTTAAGGTGTTTCCCAGTGTCCTGTATCACCTCCCAGCCCTGGAGACCATCCTGCTCAGCAACAACCAGGTGGGGTCCATCGACCCGGTGCAGCTGAAGGGGATGGACAGGCTGGGAACGCTGGACCTGCAGAACAACGACCTCCTCCACGTGCCCCCAGAACTGGGGAACTGTGAAAACCTGAGGTGTGTGGTTTCACTGGGGACCTGTTTATACAATTATATTCTGAGTTCTTCAGGGAGTGTTTTGTCAGAGGAAAAAGTGCTCCTTGGCAGGATATTGTTTGTGGAGTCTCAGTGCCCCAAAAGGGTCTCTCTGACTATCTGCAAACCAAGGCAGTTTCTTCCATAATTTCTCTCTATTGTAGAGAATTGGAGGAGTTGTTTCTTCATTTCAAACCTGTGTCAAGGGTGTGTTGTTTTGTATGAAGCTCCTGGCAGAGCCTTGGTTATGTTGCCTGTCCAGTCACACTGTGGTACAGCATGGACAGGCCAGGCTTAGCAGGGAGATTGGACCAGGTGAACCCACTGTGGTCCCTTCCAGCCTGAACCATCCTGGAATTCTGTTTCTGTATTCCAGAAGTTCTTTTCTCACTCCTGCTGGCAGAGGCTTGCTGCAGTAGTGGGGTATGTGCTGCAGTCATACACCCCCACTGATTTATTAGCATAAATTAAAATTCACGTCTCTAAAGCCAAGTTGGTGTGAAGCAGGGAAGCAGGAATTAAAACTTTTAGTAGAACAGAAGAGGGATTATTTAGGGATTCCAAAAGATTCAGCAGTCTGTATGCAGTGGATGAGTGTGTGCCTACAAGAAGTCTTTATCTAAGTGCAAGATCCCTGTTTTCCAGGACCCTGCTGTTGGAAGGGAACCCATTCCGCACCCCCCGGGCTGCAATCCTGGCCAAGGGCACAGCTGCAGTGCTGGAATACCTGCGGAGCCGCATTCCCACCTGAGCCAGCTCCTGCCCTGGGCTAGCAGGGATCACAGGACAAGGGGCTCCACTGCCTCCCTCCTCCTGCTCCTGCCCAGGCCAGAGCATCCATGAGGCTGTTTGTATGTTAAGAAAGAACTGACCTGTAAAACATTCCCTGGATGCATGTTCCAAGGGGGATCTCAGCATCCCACACTCTGTTTACACTGCTTGTGATAAAGGAGCCATGGTGCTCTCTGCAGGCCAGCTGAGCTTTGAAGAGAGTTGTCAAATCAAAGCCTTTGGGCGAAAGGGAATACTTTGGATTTTTGTATCCTTTTTTTTGGTCTCTTTTCACTGCTCCCCAAAAACTTATTCCTGGTCTGTGTATGGTAAATACTGGAGCTGTGAGGGGGTGACCAAGGCTGAGAAGTACCCCCAGCTTTGTGCATGGCTCACCTGAGGGCAAGAAAGTGGCCGGTGTTGGCAGCTGCACTGAGATAATAAATGTGTCCCTTGGATGTCTGGCTTGGGTTCTTTAAGCATGTGCTGTAATTAAGTTTTCTAGACAGTAACACAGATACTTTTCTTGTTTAAACAGGCTTCCATGTCCTGAAAGTGATGCCCTTAATGATAACGGTGCTGCAGTGTGGGTATTAATAAACAGAACCACAGAATCCCAGAATCACTGAGGTTGGGAAAGCCCTCTCAGCCCATTGAGTGCAACCTGTGCCTGATCCCCACCTTGTCACCCAGCCCAGAGCACCGAGTGCCACGTCCAGTCGTTCCTTGGACACCTCTAGAGATGGGGACTCCACCACCTCCCTGGGCAGCCCCTTCCAATGCCTGACCACCCTTTCCAGGAAGAAATTCCTCCTGAGGTCCAACCTGACTCTCCCCTGGCACAGCTTGAGGTCGTTTCCTCTTGTCCTGTCTTGTTCTGTGGGAGCAGAGCCTGACTGCTCCACCTGGCTCCACCCTCCTGTCAGGGAGTTGCAGAGAGCCAGAAGGTCCCCCCTGAGCCTCCTTTTGTTCAGGCTGAGCCCCTCCAGATCCCTCAGCCACTCGTGGTGCTCCAGACCCTTCCCCAGCTGTGTTCCCTTCCCTGGACATGCTCCAGCTCTGGGTGATGGATGGTGGATCCAGTTCCCTGGATGACGGAGCTGCTGTTGCTCTCAACCCCAGCCCTCTCATTTCCATACATTTATCCTTTCGTACACCATTTGTCCCCAAAAAGCAGTAAACACTGAGTTTTCTTCACCAGCTGCATCACTCCCATTCCTTATCTGATGTCCCACAGTAGCAAGGAGAGCTGCCCAATTTTCTAGGCCCACTTCCAGTGGGATGTAGGGAATGACGACTCCTTCCTCTCCCTCCCAAACCTTCCATCCTTCCCGACAGCGAAGAAATGACCCAAAAGAATTACAATAAGGTGACGTTTTTATTATTTATACAATAAAGAGACTTTTTAATGTTATTCAAAACACTTTTTTTTTTTTAAATACTGAAAAATTTGGGTACACCAAAGCCGAAAATGGCTCTGCTAATACTGCACAGCGGCGGTTCAGTCCCTGGGCTCCCTATGGACAGAAGCATCTGCAAAATGCATCAACACCACACGCACGGGCCGGGGCCCCACAGGGCACGGGGAGGGGACAAACCTGCATGTGCCAAGGGACGAGAGTTGATTGCACTCAATCAATAGATTTAAAATAGAATTTTTGAAGTACCTTTTTGCACATAAAATGAAGCAGCTTTCAAGTTCAGTAAGTCTTTATACTGCAAAAAACATGAAGTACATTCACAATCTATGTTAATAAAGTAGTAAATATTTCCTCATTCAGCTTTATTTACAGGAATACTGGAATTCAACTGAAAAGTACAGTCATCTGGAATATAGCAATCTTTGAACACATACAAAAATGACCATTTCTGTATATAATTTAAGCTCAAAATCACAATTATCTCAAAATATTAATTACAATACAGCCATCTCCATCATAATTAAACATGTCTTTTATAAAATGGTAAAATCTTTAATAAAGGAAGCTGTTGGTTCTGAACCGGATACAGTACTCACAGGTAGAAAACCGAAGTGATGAGCGAGTGCCCTGCCCGGGGAGGGGACACGAGGGGGGGGACACAAGGGAAGGACATGAGCCACCGAGGCAGCCCAGAGACAAAGGCCCTGAGTGCCAGGGCTGGGGGTCCTCACACAATGCAATGGTGTCATTCAGTCACTTCCACAAAATCGGCTGGAATCATCCAGGAAGGGGATTGGCAAAATGTTTTTCTGTTTGTTTTTTCTTTAATTTCAGTTCCATGATTTGAAAACGGTGCCTTTTGGGATTGGGTTGGCGGTGGCCCTGCAGGCTCCTGGAGCGGCCCACAGTGCCAATAGCCTTGTTCCCGAGCACCCAAACCCCCAGTGGATCCGTATCCCATCAAACTACTGCCCGGAAAGTTGTATCAGCACGGCCACAGGGAATGACCCAGGGCCTGAGTGCCTGGGAATGAGGGGATGAGGCCAGACGGCTTTGTGCGCTTCAAAAGGGAATTGTGGAGTCTGGAAGGGAGAGAAGGGAGGGGCCATGCCAGCCATGGGCAGGGAGCTCGGACTGCAGAGAGAATTCCCACCTTCCCCAGTGTGGGATTTCTAACTGTGAAATCCCACCAGTTCACAGGATCACAGAATAGCTGGGTTTGGGAGGGACCTCTTGGAGATCACCCAGTCCAACCCCCTGCCCAGGCAGGGTCACCTGGAGCAGGTGACAGAGGAATGCGTCCAGGTGGATTTGGGATGCCCTCCCTGGGCAGCTATTCCAGGCTCTGCCACCTTCCATGGAAAGAAGTTCTACCTCGTGTTGAGGTGGAAGTTCTTGCGTGTTTATGGCCAAATCCTGCCAAGGTGGGTGCTGACTCCACAGCCCTGTCACCTCCTGTGCCTGTGTGTGACCCATGTCCAACCCTGATCCTGTTGGACAGGGTCTGCCTGGTTGGAGGGACATGGACCACCCCCCCCGTGTCCTGAGCTGGACTGGGCAGCACAGCCCTGGCTCTGGCCCTTCTCCTGCCACAGACAATTCCCAGGAATAACCACCCTGATCCCCACTGACCCTGTACAGACCTGGGTCTGACACCGTGGCCTGTCTCAGCTGATCCAAATGTGTGTAATTTAATACAGGGTTTGCATTTCCTGTTGCAAATCTCCTTATCAGATATATACACATCTATAAATAAGCACTTTTGATTGCATAAGGTAATTAATGCTATATTACAGCAGAGAGGTTTCACAGAATCCCAGATTGGTGTGGGTTGGAAGAGACCTTAAAGCTCATCCAGTCCTACTCCCTGCCATGGGCAGGGACATCTTCCACTAGACCAGGTTGCTCCAAGCCCCATCCAACCTGGCCTTGGACACTCCCAGGGATGGGGCAGCCACAGCTTCTCTGGGCAACCTGTGCCAGGGCCTCACCACCCTCAGAGACAGGGATTTCTCCCCAACATCCCAACTAACTCTGCCCTCTGGCAGTGGGAAGTGATTCCCCCTCGTCCTGCCCCTCCAGGCTCTTGTCCAGACAAGTCCCTCTCCAGCTCTCTTGGAGTCCCTTCAGGCACTCCAAGTGCTCACTAACAGCAGCAAACCAACATCCTGGACATTCCATACTCCTTTTTTCCTTGGATTTTCCTTGGATTTCCTTGTCTCTGCTCTCAGCTGCCCCATTCACCCCCACTATTGTCCTGCTTGGTCCCTGCTCAGAGCCACTGGCTGGGCACAGCCACCCCAGTTGGCATCTCCTGTTCCCTCCCAGGGGCCGGCACTGCCACCAAACACAGATGCAGATGTGGATGTGCTATAAAACATCTCGAAAAGCAAGATCTGAAGATGTTAAATTGTTGCTGTTGGAACACCTGGCTGATAACTCCCATAGTTTGTCATCACCTGGATACGAACTGTGAGCTGGCACTGGGAAAAGGGGGGTCTTGGAGGCTTCCTGGGGTCTGGGCTGGGCTTTTTCCTCAAAAAATTTTAAAAAAGCATTTTGAAAGCAGCTTTTTTGCTTTCTTTTTTCCCTCCCCCATCATCGCCCTGTGCAGGACTCCCTGTGTAGGGGGACCCCTCAGCTCTCCAGGGCTCAGCTCTGTCCCTCCTCTCCCAGCAAAGCTCCAAAAGGTCCCACAGCCAGGGAGGGAAGGTTTAGGAATTCCTAGTGGCTCTTGGAGGCAGCAAAGTGGAATATTCCTGGCTGTGTCTGTGGGCTGTGGCTGCACCCTTGGATGTGGGATTTTTGGGTGGGAATGAGTCCAGCCACAGACAAGCCCGGTGCCAGCTCTCCCTCAGCCCTTTCTCAGGGAAATGGGATCCCCTGAAAATACCTGAAGGGAGGTTTCCCTGTGTTTTTTCATCTTGCTATCAGGTGTAACCGTGCTGGAGCCCTGAACCACCAGCAGCTGTCAGGACTCTCTTTGTTGGGAGCAGCACCAGGACTTGGACCTGAGAGGTTGTCACACTGTGCCCTGAGCTGGGAATGCTCCTCCCAGGCTGGCTTGGTGTCACTCAGTGTCACCTGCTGTTCCCTGGGATGTGTCAGCTCTCAAACCTACTCCCATTCCCTGTAAAGGACTCCTGATCAAATCAAGGATCACATAAAGCCTCTCCGATGGGAATATCCCAAGCAGGGCCCGGCCCAGCCTGGAGCCAGTGAAGATACACAACAATGTCCATGGGAATGGGGGATGTGAGTAAAGGGCCTCGAATTGGAAATTAAAAAAGTGAAATAATAAAATTAGCAGCAACAAAAGAAGTTTTACTGCCACCATCACAACCTTCCTCCATCTGTGCGCCAAACCTGCCTGTCCTCGGGGTTCTCCTGTAGTGTGTGCACATGGAATCCATGGGAAGTGCCAAACCAAAGGGATTAACCCATTCCAGAGGGAGTTAACCCATTCCAAAGGAAGTCAGAATCATAGAATCATAGAATGGTTTGGCTTGGAAGGGACCTTAGAGCTCATCCCATTCCATCCCCTGCCATGGGCAGAGACACCTTCCACTAGACCAGGTCACTCCAAGGTCCATCCGACCTGGCCCATTCCAAAGGAAGTTAACACATCCTAAAGGAAGTTTTAACCCATTCCAAAGGAAGTTCACCCATTTCCATGTGGGTTTTTGTACCGAGGTCCCAGAGTTCAATTTCAGAAGTCTCTCACCCTGTATATGAATTGTTCCTGATCCCTACGGAGCCAACTATACACACGGCATATGTACAGGTATTTTCATAAGGCATAGAATATCTTTGCATTGAAAATAAATGAACATTATTAAATTTAATTTAATATATACTTTCTTTGAGGTGTTTATGAAAATATTTTTTTCTCTATACTTTTGTATGTGACATGATAGAAATATTTCATGGGAAGTACAGGTTAATATAGTTCATCTTTATAAAGGCATATACAACTCTGAGGCAGTGTTTCTGATGGACAGCAGAATTCCTAAAGGATTTGTATGTGCTTTTGTGTTCTGAAATTATATGAAATCGACTTTAAGAAGTAACTTGATTAAAAAAACGCACCAATGCACAGCCAGAGGCTGACAAGTAAAACTAATACGGAGCCACATGAACAATATATTTATATAGTTAATATATTTTTCCCGATGATTGGTACTAACATAGAGTATTATACATTTGGCACTACTGTTTGCCATTGGTCCAGCAATTGGCAAAAAATTGGTTTCCTATGTATAAATCTGTTTGAACATTAGATCTGGCTAGACATATTTACTATTTATAAAAAAATATTTAGACAGTAAGCTCACGTTGAATAACAAGGTCTACTGTGTTCTGGAAACTCTTCAGTAGAAGCACAGCCTTCTCGTGTTCCATATGTACAAAGCTGTGTCCATTGGCCTGCAACAGGGACAAACACAGGAAAAAGCTCTATAGTGGCTTCATTTTGGGGGAACAAAGGGGTGGATGGAAATGAAAAGCTAAAATAAATAATGAACACATGAGGATCCCACAAACACTGAGCACATGTTTCTCTCGCCCTCCGTTGACTTCGAGCAGGGGCTGGACTGGAGGCTCCAGTGAATACTTCATTCCCACTGAAATGATCCTGTGACTCTGGGATAGTTTGTGTGTTTCCTGAGGAAGCATAACTCTGGGATGGAAGGTTTCCATATTCCAGGTGCCGTGCTGCATGCATGGGCAGGATGGGCTCCGTTCGGACACAGAGATAAAGAGGGAAGTATTTATAAGCTTTCTGTCAATTAAATCTCACTATAATAATCTCTCTCTTGTCTGTTCCAACATTATTTCAAAAGTCAAATGTTAAACATAATTACCCACAGTTCACTGACTGTGCTTAATAGGCCCAAGTAGAAGATCCACCATTCTCCAGGATAATGGACACAGTTCAGGAAGGGGATCAGGCCCCATGACCACACCTGCTCCAGGTCCGCCCTGAGCCTCCTTCCCAGGCTGAGCCCCCCCAGCTCCCTCAGCTGCTTCTGCTGCTCCAGACCCTTCCCCAGCTCCATTCCCTTCTCTGGACATGCCCCAGTCCCTCAATGTGTCTCTTGTCTGAGGGGCCCAGAACTGACCCCAGGACTGGAAGTACCTCAGCAGTGCCCAGTGCAGGGGGACATCACTGCTCTGGGGCTGTGGCCACACTATTTTTGATACAAACCAGGTGTCACTGGCCTTCTTGGCCACCTGGACAAAAAGTTCTGCAAGTAACTCTGCTATAAATCAATATTAAACTATATATAATAGTTTATATAATAACAGAACTGTCAGTTAACTCACAGAGTCACAGAATATCCTGAGTTGGAAGGGACCAATGAGGACCATCGAGTCCAACCCTCAGCCCTGCACAGGACCATCCCCAAGACTCACACCACATGCTCCAGAGGATCATGTGAACATTCCTTGAGCTCTGGCAGCCTTGGTGCTGTGACCACTGCCCTGGGGAGCCTGTTCAGTGCTCAGTCGCCCTCTGGGGGAAGAACCTTTTCCTAATATCCAACCTGAACCTGCCCTGACACAACTTCAGGCCTGCACCAGCACCACTGCATTTCTGAGCTGCCCTCAGCCCCCCAGCAGTCCCTCCCCCTGTACCTGCAGGATCTTGTCCCCGGGCTGGAGCAGGCTGGACGCGGGGCCGTCAGGCTGAACCCTAGTAACAAAGATACCCTATAAGTCAAAGTAACACAGGTTAGGATGCCATCTCCGAGACCTACAGCCCAAAATACAGGTGCATCCCTAACTGGGATCTGGGGGCTTTATAGACTTGGGCTAAACACCAAACTCTATTTTAATCTGTTTGTAATCAAACACTAGGTTGGGTTTCTAGCAGCTTCAGCTACTTCACCCAATAAATATAATTGTGGGTCATTTTTAACTAAGATTCCACCTCACAAAATACTGTCCAATATGAATAGAGTGGCAGGGTTATCAGGAGGGTAATTAAAATGGAGTAAGCATTAATTTATTAGAATAATCTGTACCATAATCTACACAGTAATCTTTGTTTGCTTCCTCTAAGAAAGAAAAAAGTTTAAAAAACGTGTAGAAAGCAGTTGATTATTCAGCCCTTGAGATCTTCAGTTCCATGGGCTGTGGGACAGACCTTTAATCCGGTGTCTGAGCAGTGAAAGGCTTTAAAAGAGGAAAAGCTATTAAAGGATAGTTATAGATTTGTTTTCAGAATTTCAGTACAATATGTTAATAATCCCCCAAATCAAAGCTTGGTTCCAGCTGATGAGCACATTAAACTCCCACACAGCTCATCAGCTCTGGCCCCTCAGTTCTGTGCTCTCCCTGCTCCAACAGGAATCCAAGACTAAATGTGAACATTCCCATTGCTCCCAGGGACACCAGGGAAATCCCTGCTTGGCACCACCATCATGTGCATCCCTGAGGGATTTTACAGTCTCCTGAGCAAGGCCCTGCCCTGTATTCCCAGTATGAAACCAGAGCTCCTTGGGAGCATAGCCATAGGCTGCTGAAACCTCATCCCTGTGCCATGAACTTGTGGCAGGGTTCTGCTGTGCCAAAGGAATGGTGGCTTCTCCATGGCTTCTCCTGTCTTCTCATCCCAGTGACATCAGCATTTCATTTAAAATATGTCAAATCTGGTGTCACAGTGTGGGAAGTGATGGTTCAGAGTAACAATACAGAAAAACCCTTCAACTATTAATTTCCCTCCCATCGCTCCCTGAGTTGCATTCCGGTGAGTGGGAAAATCAGTTCTATCTCCAGCTGTTCCTGCCTTGCTCCAAATACATTCAGAGTAGAACAGGGACCCTCCTTCAGTCACTTCAGCCAAGTGACAGCCAGGAAAGTCCAGTTTAATTCTACCATCCCACCTTCAACTGTGCAAAACCAGGCCCCGATATTATAAAGTGTAATTCCAGAGTGAAGTCTCCAAGGACACCCAAATTGAGAACGTTTTAAAGGACAGTAGTTAAAATTCCTGGGTTTTATGTACATTACATGGGACTACTCTGGAGGTTCAAAACAGGGATTATCAATCCCAGAATCCCAGACTGGTTTGGGTTGGGAGGGATCTTAAAAGCCCTCTTGTTCCAGCCCCTGCAATGGGCAAGGACACCTTCCTTTGACCAGGAATTCAGACTGTGTCAGGTTGGTATTTCCAAGCCTATTTTACATTCCCAGTCAGTTTTCTGTTGTAATTCAGAGAGGTGGGGAATTGATTTCTTTAATTTGCAGGCAGATCTCAAAGTTTTGAAAAGAGATGAAAAGAGAGTTTTAAAAAACTTCATCGTTTGCGAAACATTCTCCACACTTATGGAAGTTCTGACTGTCTCTGCAAACAGAATCCAGGATTATCAAAGGACATCAACTCTAGGAACCTGTTCAACAGAGAGGTGCCCAAAGTGCTCATTTTCCAACAAACTCCACTCAATTTTATTGCACCAAACAGACAAATTCACAGGTCTAAGAGTCCATTTCCTAATCCTACAGCCCCTGGAGCTGGGAATCACCAGGTGGTGGAGTTTTTCTAGGCTTCCTTTTATCACACAGAGACCTATCTTAGACTTGCAATTCCCCGAATGAATCCTGAGTCTCCCTGACCACCGTGTTCCTCATGGGGACATTCTTAATTCCCAGTACAAAAGATAACTGGTGCCATGGGGTCTGCAAGGATCCAGTGATCTCCAGTTTACAGGCCAGGCTGGTTTTATTTGACACAGCAGCTACAAATCCTGGCATTCCAGCTACTGGTACGCTGGTTTGGTGTTAATTTAGTCAAAAGTTTAAATCAGGGCCAAAAGTGACTCTTAAAAGCGAGAGAGACGATTCTCCAGAAAACAGCCTGAAAAATTCTTAGACACGGAATATGGGGCAGACACCCATGGGATTGATGTTTGATTCTCTCATTTTCATTAACTGGGAAAAGAAAGCAAACAACACACAAAAAACTCTCCCAAACCAAAAAAAAAATAATAAAAAAAGCCAAGTGTGGGAAAAAGTCTTTCAATAATCACAACAGAAGGACATAAACATCTCACTCATATTCTCCACATCTCCATAAACTTCTCACTCATGTTCTCCATGTCTCCACTCTAAAATAAGGACCAGATAGAGAGAAATTCCCAACGTACCTTATCGGAAGGTTTGAATGGATTTCCTTGTCCACTTATTCCACCACTGATACTAAACCCCAGGCCAGGATTCTTCTCTATCCTCACACAAAACTAGGTTAGAAAGACAGGGCAGGGTAAGTGGATGTCAACATTAAACCCTTCCTAAACCACAGCATCCTTCTTCCCACACATCTCGTTCACCATCAGTGGGATGAGATGAGCCCTGCACTGCACAACGTGGGGAAAGTCCATGAAACATTGCTATAAACTGGAAGTACTGGCATGATTTTAGCACACAGTGATACCATAATATTCCCTATCATTCATAGATTTTTGCATGGATTTTAAAGTTTCGTTTTCAAGGAGGAAAAAAACACTTTAGACTTGTGATATGTTCACATTGGCCAAATTTTTCACTTAAACGTTGGGATAAACCTGTCAGTGAGGCTTAATCTGTGCAATTTTATTTTTCCAGAAGGAGTCACTTGTGCAGCACCCCTTGGACAAAGCAAGGGATATATATACTCAATAATATATATCCCTATATATATATATTATATATATTATATATATCCCTATATATAATATATATATAGGGATATATATAATATATATAATACTCAAAGCTCAGGGATCTTCAGAGCATTGCCAGGTTAGGGCACAGGCCCACAACCTGACTGAGCACCACCCACTTCTACCCCAGGAGACAGTGCTGAACCTTCTCTTTTAGTCAGGATGACTCTAAATAGCATTGGGTCATTGAACATAAAATAAAAATTACTTCAGAGGAGCTTAATGACTGTGCACTGAGCTGGGCTTAGCACATCCTCGAGCCACACCAGCAACTGGTTCTGAACATCAGGGATGTAAGACAGGGAGCTGCTCACGTGGCTTGACCAGCACTTTACACAAGAGAAAGGTTTACTGATTGTTCTGCACCTCATTCAGCAAAGTCAGGGGCCCCAAACAGGTATTTCAGTCATTAAGGTCAAATATAATGAGGACAGGACCACTTAATGAAGGAAATCCCCAGTGCTGGGGGCACTGGGGCTGCAGATGGCCTTTCACTGGGCAGATCTGAGCAGATTAGCATATTATAAAATAACCTGCCCTGTTGACACTGAACTGGGTTACTGGGGAACAGGCAGAAGCTGCAAATTAATTCAGTGTGACCCTGTGATGCCAGTTCTGCTCAGGGGCTTCAATAGCAAATGGTGTTACTTGATCAGTCCAAGAGAAAATGGATATTGATGGCTGGTGCTGGGGAAGGGGATGGATCCAGCCTGCCTCCAGCTCAACCAGAGCTCCCCCAGTCCAACCAGAGCTCCCCCAGTCCATCTAGAGTTCCCCCAGTACAACCAGTGCTCTCCCAAACCAACCAGAGCTCCCTGGGCTGCCCAGCTCAGCTGCACCATTCCTGCCCAAGGCTCCCTTGTCCCATGGACACCTTGGAAAACACAGGAACATCTCTGTCCTGAAGCTGCAGTGCAGCCCCTCTCACCTGCTCCTGGTAGGCGTCGGTGCTCCGCTGGCCCTTGGTCTGGATGAGGCACCGCCCGGTCTGGGGGGCTCGGGAGCTCTGGGCTGCCGGGATCTGGATGGGCAGCGGTGGCTGGTACTGCTGGATGGTGACCTTGTTCATGCTCCCCTCGTAGGGCTGCTCCCGGCTCCGGTGCTGCAGGCTCTGGGATCCCATGAGGGTCTGGATGTGGCTACCTGCCTGTGGGCAATGCAACCCGTTAGGCCACAAAGGTAGGAGGCTGAAAGGAAATGATTATTAAACTCACAGTTGGGGCCAAGTAAACCTGAGCCCCAGCAGAGGTTTGCCTTTGGAGCACAGCTGGGAAAACCAGGATTAAAAGCAGCAGGGACATGCCCATGGCACCGGGGACCTGGGAAGTTTGGGGAGAATCAGCCATTTGATAAACATAAAGTATTTTTCTCCTCATGTCACGTCCACATTTCTGCTCAGGGTGTTTTGTGAACTGAAAACATTTAATAAATCAAAGGAGGGTGAATAATTTATCACAGCCCACTATAAAGATACTGGAATGTTTGGTTTATCTGAGGATAATTTGGAATAAGTTCTGTAACACAGACACAGACACTGACCAGGGTTATGCTCTGGGTATGGAGAGCACCAGCATTTAAAACCTATGCCTTCTCCTGCGACCAAATGTGGCTTTCACCAAATGTAACCAATCAAATTTCTGTGATAACATTTCTGTGACAACATCTGCTGGTTTGAAGCTCCAATATTTGGTAAAGAAAAGTTAAATACTGCATTTACATCAACTTGGTCTTTTGCTAATACCAGCCAAGGAAGAATGGCTCCTGTCTTGTGTTTCTGTCTTGTGGACACAACAGTAAAAGTCATTTTCCAGGAAGCCTAAATACTGCAGGCTTTTAATAGTCTTTTAATAAATCAGTGGATTATTCAATTGGGAGATTAAAATATCCAATTTTGCCATAGGAGAACTAGCCCATAAATTATGGACTTGAGGTAAAATGGGCATTTAATCTGCATTATAAACAGCAAGAAGGATGGAAACAACCACCCACAGCCCAGCTAATGAAGTAGTGATGCCTGTGCAGCATTCCCAGCTCACTGACAGAAACAGCCATCACTACACACAGAGTAGGTCTGTGTGGGGGAAATTTGGGAATGTGTATTAGTGTCTATATACAGTTAGATAGATACCAGTTAATGACTGGACTCAATGATCTTGGAGATCTTTTCTAAGCTAAATGATCCCATGATTCTACATCAGCATGAGTACACAGTCCATCCATCTGCCATACACACCCTTCCCCTTGGAAAAACAACTCTCAACTCTTTTTACCACGATTTCCCAAGCACAGCTCTACCACACAGTAACTCAGCTCTGCAGGAGCCCAGTTAGTGGAAAACCAAAAGATATTACAATTTATATTTGCACATTTAATTGTTTGCTATGTTGAACTTCAATTCTATAGAAGAGTTTCTGAACGACTTCAAATAGTTGCTGGATTTTAATCCCCAGATGCTGGAAAACCAAGACATTGGAGGTGACTTTGCTTGGAGAGATGAGTGTTGTCACACCAGCACATTACAAATCCCTCCTGAGGAAGGTGAGTAAACAGCTCTGAGAATTCATTTTCTCTCTGCTGTTAATAGACTTTGAGGAGATTGTTATCACTCCTGCTTGTGGATTCACACCGTGGCTCTTCTGGAGGGGGATAAGCTGCTTCTCATGGAAATGGAAATGATTTCTTCTGCAGAAAAGATCTCTATTATGCAGACTGCTTCCCCAATTTCATCTGTATTTTTTACTTATCATCCAGCACAAAAGTTAATTATTTTCAGCTCGGTGTCCAATATTTACGTTACAGTTGGAGTAGCTGGCAGTAGCTGGCAGTGGGTGTAATGACAGATCTGCTGAGTGAAGCAATGTTTGTACTTATCCCATGAGAGCAGCCAGATACCGAAATATTCAGAACAAAAGAGAATCTGCAGTTGAATTTATTACAGTCCTGATGGTGCTCTGTTGATGGTGAACTGTTACGGCACTGACTGTGCACTGATGGTGCACAAATGTAAGACAGCAACAGTGTCCAACTGGGAATGGACCAACACAGGTTTTATCCCAAAATGCCAGTGAAGACAAGAAATGGCTTGTCTTACATTTCTCATCCTCATTTCTTGCATATCAGATGATAAATAACTTGGCTGTCAGAGCCAACTCCACCACACCCTGTCGCAGCACCCCCTCCTCCTCCTCCTCTTCCTCCTCCTCTTGGGCCTGGGAGGTGCAATTTCCATCTCCCATCTTCCAGCAATCCTCCTGTACACAGGGACCTGTGGTTGCAGCTCTCTGTGAAGCCAAGGGTTGCTGCTTCTGCCACTGCCTTGGATAAAAGCTGTGAAAGGAGGTCCTTCCTCATCAGTTGAGAGTTAATCACACAGCAGTTATCAGTGTACACACCATGACTTTCACTGGTGTTATTCACCCCAGGGATGAGCTGGTTGGATCTCTATGTAGACAAAGACCACTGTAATTATCCCATGTGCAGCTCCATCTCCCAACACCGACTCCAAACACAGCTGAGTTTGTCAGGACCCTCCATTCTCCAGCTTTGCAATTAGAGCAGCCAAACCCAGCAGTTCCTGAGTGGATGAGCCAAGCTGGGGCTGGGAGGGAGCAGCCAATGTTTGCACATGACCAGCTCAGCTCCAATTACCGGAATTCAACATCCACCACAAGGTACCAGAAATTAGACCCATTTCTGGTGAGTTTATCAATGAAATGGCTGTGTCTGTTCAGAGCTGGGCTGGCACCATCCCAACACGTCATTTGTTATGATTGTCATTGAAATGAAACATTTGATGAGACTCTGCAGGCCAAGGGACAGGAACACACCTGCCCAGCCCTCTGTGCCCACTGCACACACCAGAGATGGAACCACACAAACCACACAAAAATGGGCAAAACACGCCCTGAATTCCCAACAATTATTGCTTTAAGCCTTGAAACCAGGAGTGTCCTTATACACCTTCTCTCCTCCTTGGAGAGGTGCTGGGAGCAGGATCCACTCCAGGATCCCTTCCTTACCTTCTTGGTGACAGTGTCGGGGGGCACATCCCGCCGCCCCAGCGGGTACGGGTTCCACTGGCTGCCCACGGACACCTCGTCCTGCCCGTTGTCCAGGATGCTGCTCTGCTGCGATGGGGTCTGTTGCACAAATGTAGGGCAGCCTTTAGTCACCAAACAACCCCTCCTCAGCTTTAGTTCAGTCCCTAACCCAGTTAAATAAACTGCACCGCGCTATTGCTACAACAGAAATCCTCCTAATTCCCCCAGTATTTCATTAACATGTGACCACATTGCTGGGGGACCCTCTGCAAGCAGGAGGGCTTGAAAGGCATAGGAGAGAAATCATGAGAATAATGAATGATGAGAGAAAAGAGAAAATTCATTTAACATGACTCAGAGAAACAAATTTGGTTGAAATCTCACATTTCAATGTGCAGTCTGCCATTACCAGTGAGTTAGAACTTTCTTGCTGCTCATTCAAGCAGCAAAGGCTTTTTTTATGTAGTATTTGCCACCAATACAAATTTGATGCTTTTATTTTCTGCAGAAAACATTCCCTGATGGCAAAGGTGAAGTTGTGACTCCTTGTCCCCCTGAATCAGCTCCATCTGAAGCTCCCAGACCTCTCTAGGATGGGCCTGGTTTGTGTTAAGCCAACAGATATATGGACAATATTAACCTGTAATTAAATGGTTTCTTTTTTAATCTAAATGGCCATAACACACATTTAATGTTTCCTAAATATTATTATCTTTCCCTTTTCTCTCCTGTTATAAATACTTCTTCCTTGTCTTTCTTCCCCCTGGTTATTTTACTCCTGTTTTCAGGACTTTGGAGGGCGTCTGTGCTTTTTTTGTCCCATCTTGATTTTCTCTTATCTGTCCCTCTATTTCTCTACCATCACTGGAAATTTTCCCAACATGGGGGTCAGACTTTCCAGAACTCCAATACTGTGCTACCACTGATAGCACCTGAATGATGTGGTGCTTATTGAGTTCTGATCAATGATAATTTACAAAGAAACAAAAAATAGCTATTTTTCCCCTCTGTCATTCAAGCAAATTCTTCTCCAGCTTAGATTAAAAAAAAATCAGGATACACTTCTTCAGATGGCTGAAGAATTGCATTTGCTTTGAAACATGAAAGCTGGGAACTTGTCAATTAAAAACTATTTTTTAACAGAAGTTTAAAAGTAAATAGAAGTAAATTGTGATTTAATCACACATCTCAGTGGCTAAATAAAAAAAATTTCAACTCTGATTTAAAATGAAAGAAAACTTTCATTATAATTCTTTCATCCTTCAAGTCTTCCAGAAAAATCATGAAAGTTGCTATTTTCCTTCTATTAAAAACTACTAGAAAAACACTTCCACTGTTGGAAGACCTCCTTGTCGAGCTTTCTTTACACCATTAAAATGGAAAATAAAGCCATCCCTTCCAGAGCTGCCCTGAGAATCCTCTCACATCCTGACAGATCAGCTTCCGGGCCTCTCTGGGTGCCCTCCCCATGCAGAGAGGTGGTAGAAAGGCTCATTCCAAGGGGAACCTCTGCTTTTCTCCTGACTGACTATTATTTCCAAGGGAGATGGCAACAGACACTTCTGGGAATGGATTCCACCAAACCATAAACTTTTAAACCACCTGAGAGACGGATCCCAAAAATGGAAAAGTTCTGGGTTGTTTCCCCACTGACTGATCTGCAGGAGGGAGTTTGCACTCGAGAGGGAAAAAACAAAAATACGGAGGGCGTTTTCTGCTTTCTCAATAAACAGGAAAATTCTGTGGTTTCATTTTCTGCAGCAAAATGAATTTGGTCCCTTGCAATATTGCTCATTTTCTGAGCTCGGACAGACTGAGAGCAAACCCACATCTATTAAATCTGGGTAAACAATGAAAAGCAGCAGTTCAAGCATTTTCTACAGTGAGCAGAATCAATGCAATAAACATTCTGAAAATAAGTTACTGGTAAACTTGATTTCCTGACCATCCACTGGACAACTAGACCTCACTCATTACTCTCTTGAATCCAGGCCACGGGAAACAGGGAGGAGAAGGAGACAAACATTAAACTGCTGTGGCCTGGATTCATCAAGAAATGCAAATCCTTTAGAACATATGAAGGAATAGAATTAAACCATACTAAATATACACAATATTCATTCAACAATAATTTTCCCCTGCTTCTCAAACAGTACAATAAAAGAACAACCCCCCTAATGCAGTTCAGCATCACAGTTTATATGGGTATGGAGCAGTGAAATGCTGGTGGAATAGAAAGCAGAATAATCTACATCAGAGCACATCCCAAAACATATCACTGAATAGATTCATTAGTTCCTCAGACATCCATCCATTAATATCCATATTCATTTACAGCCTCAAATCCTGGGAGTACCATAAAACACCATATTCCTGATGTGTGTAGCAAACCAGCACTGTTATCTGGGGTTGACGGAAAATGGATTTTTCCAAGGACTCGTGACAAGACCTGGCATGTACTCGAGGAGACAGACAGGTTCTTTGGAAGCAGAGACAACACTGGAATGTCACCCGTGGCCAACACACACCTCTGGGGGGCCTCTCGGTGCCACCCACCCAACAACAGAGAAGCACAGAGAGCAGGGTGAGGGAACCCAGGGACAGCTGATGGCATGGGGGATGGAGGTGACAGTGTATGGAGAGTCAGTCCTAGCAGGAAAAGCCTGACACTGATCCATGCGTGATGTTATCCTGTCCCAGCTCTGCCCAAAACTCCAGCACGGAGTTCGTGCCGCATCAGGGAGCTGAGCAGAGCTGAGGTCTGTCCAACCCACACAACCTGCTCGTGCTGCTGCCATTATATCACCCTGTTGTTCTCACCAGCCTTGGATCTAAGCTCTGAAATGGGGCCTTGGAAGCCTCCTGTGGGAATCTCTGGCCAGGGCTAGTCCTGCCTGGGTAGGTGCCAGAGGTGCTGGAGGCCAGCCTGGCAATCACCAGCACAGCTGATCCCATGGCAGCGCCTGGATCTGTGTTCCGCATCCCTCTAATTACTCAGAGATGCTGCTAATGTGTCCCAACAGCTCCTGCTGCCAAAGCAAGGAGAGGCCAAGTGAGGCCTGTCCCTCCTACATTGCCCTGACCCTGGGAGTGTGGCCACACAGATGCACAGAAGGTCTCAGGATCTCCTCTTTGACATTGCAAATCCTGCAGCAATGTCCCTCTCTGGCTTGTCCTGTGTGCTTTCCCCCCTCAAACATTTGTTTGGGACGGTCTTGTATATCTGTACTTGTCAGCAATATATCAAGAATAGATGTAAAATAGTAAAAAATTAGGTTATTCTCTTTCTATAGGTGTTACTGAACCAAAGTTTAAAATGGGTTTAGGTGTGCTCAAACCTCATCAGCTACTACAACAGAGCCAGTTAATGCTCAAATATTAAAATCCTTGTCTCCTGGAGCCTATTTAAATGCATATTCAACATTTCTACCATCCTTTTTTTAAGCTCAAACAGTCCAAGAGCAAAGCACATTCCCCATTTCTCTTCACAGATTGAGAAAATGATGGCACCGGTCTGGAGGAGGAGAGCAGGAAGCAGGAATGACAGCCACGGGAAACCCAGAATCCAAAAAGCAAGACCACTCAGGAGGAAAACTGTACCACTGCCACCCTTGCTTTTTGGATTGGGTCTGTATAAGCATGAGTAGTAGGCAAAAGCTAAACCAGGAGGAAGCAAGGAGTTAATTTATTGGGAATGCCAGTGATGCTGGCTAGCCCATACTTACTTTCGGTAGAGGTAGCTCTTGAAGCATTTGGTTTTCAAATTTAGATTTAGTCTGCAAGTTTAAAGTCATGCTTCGGCCGGCATGCATTGCTGAAACCCCTCCAGAGTGCAGCATGCCAAGGCTAACTGTGTGGTGTTTGTAAGCAGCGGTCTGAGTAGAGGAAACAACCACGTGACAGATATGAACACACATGCTCATCGAATTAAGTATCACACATATATGGTTAAGTTCACAGAGTTTTAGTTTAAGCAAACAAAACAGTCCCAAGAGATCAATAGCTCCCCGGGGCATGCACTGGGTCACACAAAGCAAGTACATTGCTCATTGTACATAAAATGGATACCAGAAACGACTTCCACGCTGACAGCAGATGAGGTGTGTTGGTATCTGGAGTTGTATCACATGGTACAAGTCTTTATTTTGCAAATATGGCCAAATTTAGGCTCGGCTGCACAACCACAGATAGGCCAGAGATGTATCTGGCACCAAGGAGCAAACCCTGGGGGAAAAGACTCTGCTCCATCCCAGGAGCACCTGCTCCCTGCCCACTGCCACAGTCCTGCATAGACCCGACAGGCAGCAGCTTCTCCTGGAGCAGCTGCTCCATAGGAATGCCCAGGGCTTCTCACCAGCAAACCCTCCACCAGGCAGCTCTCAACTCCTGAGAGTTTTGTAACCAGCAGTAACCAGCTCACAGGGATTGCTGCCAACTCAGCAGAATCACCAGTGTCAGCTTTCCGTGAGTTCAGGTATTCCTTGATACACATTGTAAGCTAAGCATGAAGATATTTCTTAAACAAATCAGCATCTGGGAAGTGTTTATTTCCACCAGAAATGGCTCGCTTGGGGTGCACTGGTTTCCCTGGGGAGTATTTTCCAATTGGTTTTACACAGCACAAGGAAAAGAGTTGAAGGAAGGAACCACTTCAGCCTTTGAGCCCGTTTTTAAATTTAACCCACTATGCCCTAATGATATTTTAATAAGCATCACATCTGAGAAACTGGGAGGTGAGGAGTGTAGTAACACCAAACTCAGGAGGCTCTGGCATAAAGTAAATGGACGCATTTGGCAACTACCTTCTTACGCATTTCATGACAGTAATTTTTCACAACCACTTCAGATCATGAAGTAAATGCGATTCATGAAGTAGGTCATTAAATAGGTAATGACTGAAATCATGCACTAAAGGACTTGTACTCTTCGGATAAAAGGCAAATCAGCACAACTTCCTACAGCTAAAAGAAGTAATGATCACATTCCTCATTCAAAACAGTGGCAATGGGTGCCCAGTGCTATTTCTCAGTCAAGAGACACCTTTAAACCCTCTCTAACAGTGATACGAAAGCTAAAATACATTATTATACTTATTCTCAGCGATGTTTTTCTTTATTCACTTTTACTGCCAAGATGTGCCCAGAGCTCCCAGTTGTGCCTGACGTGGTGGGCTCCAGCAGCACATCCACATCCACAAGCAGGACAGAATCTTATGGGCTTTCATCATTTTGGGAAGTGCTGCAGGAGCCACCACCTCAGTGACCAGAGAGGAGTCTCTGGATTTACCCAGGACTCCTCACTCCAGCTGAGCACCCCTAGGGCCCTTCGCAGGCCAGCTCCTCTGACAACAAGGCAGGAATTGCATTGCATTACTGGGAATTCTGGTGGTCACCACTGCACGTGCAAATAGTTTGACATACCGAAACACACAACTAAAGGCATTAATTGCAGAGAAATGCCAAACATACCCTGTCTAACCTTCTAGCTTCTATATGTCTAAGTAGCTGTTGTCTCCAGTCAGCGGGCATTTTAGCACAGCTCTCATTTCCCTTCCCAGGGGGAGGCCTTGGCTTTATATCACTGTTATCGGAAGGCTTGTCGCCATAGTTACCCAAGTTATAGTCTGACGGAATCTTTTCCAGCAGCGCTGCCATTGTCGGCCTCGCTGAGACGGGCCGGGTTTGGGATGTGCCATAGCTCTCTGTACTGTAGCTTCGTGCGGACAAGGGCCTCCTTTGCGTGAGGTTTTTAACTGGGAAGCTCCCAGTCTGGGCTTTCACCTCCTGGTAGGAAGGGAGCTCATCTTCGTAGCGCCCGTTGCGCTTGAGGAACTGTGCCTCGGGCACGGCCATGCCGCTCTGGCGCTCGGCCACCCCGCGGAACGGGGCCCGGCCGTACCTGTCGCCCGGGGGCAGCTCCTGGGGCTCACTGACCCTGCGGAACATGGACATCTCGGTGGAGCTGACCAGGGAATCCGCCCTGCGCAGGAAGCCTGGCCGTGTGCCCTGGCTGCCAAAGGGGGGCCCCACAGGCTCCTCGCTCACCGAGGGTTGCGAGAAGGAGAACATGGGCTCCACGGGTGCATACCCGCGGTACCCCCGCGGGCTCACCAGCTCCTGGGGCAGGTTTTTGGGTGGCTGGGGGATGTATTCAGGGTTGAGCTGGAAGGGCGGCAGGAGTCTCTTGTCAGCCGTGACCTCCACAGCACCCTGGGGGTTGAAGCTTTGGTCAAACTGGTAGACTTTCTTGGTGACAGACGATTTCTGCTGCGGCTGCACCTTGACGCTGCCATAGGTCAGCAGCTCGTCGTCCAGCATGGGCACAGACTGGCTGCGGGACATGCTCAGCATGCCATGCTCCGGGCCCAGCAGCTTGTCCACCCTCTCGTGAGGCCCTACAGTATCGTTCCCGGATGCATAGTTTTCTAGGGGGATGTTGTACACCTTGTATGTACCAATGTCTATCTCATCGATACTCTGAGACTTCTTAAACTTGTTCGTTTTTAAATCCCTCATCATTGGGGAAAGCCGCTCTGTACTCTTGCTGATGGAAATGACGTTTTTGGAAGGATCTGGGCGACAGTGGATATGGGAAAAGACGTTTGTGAGACTTCTGTTAGCGTTTGAGTCGTGATATTCCCATGCTATTCCTGGAGGGAAAGTACTTGTCATTTCAGGAGACTCTTTGACATGATCTTTCCGCTCAGGCAAAGGGCTGGTGGTGGGGGTGCTTTCCAGTTTGGAAGGAAAAGCTGTCCTGTCTTCAAAGGGACTAGGGGTTCTGGTCCAATTTTGCCAAGGATTGGGAGGAGGCACTTCAGATTCATGTGTGTTTCTGAGCGTCGGCTGCTCCAGCTCCAGAGGGATGCCAACTATCCTGTCCTGTCGGATCAGTGGCCTGCGCCCGTGTGCAGATGAGCTCCTCGATTTGGTGGTGAGCAGGGGGTTGGTGCTGGGGTTCTCCACCGTGCTTTCCTCGGCCACAAACCCTGTGTTGTCGTAGTGGGAACTGTCGGTCCAGCCCTCGGTGAACGTGTCGCTCAGCGGGCGCCGTTCCGGCCGCGCCGGCAGGTTCCCGGCTGGAGCTGATTCCCGCTGGCTCAGCAATGGCTTGGTCTCCAGGGGCTGTGGGAACGACTGTGCCAACCTGCAAAGACAAGAGAGAAGGGAACAAGATAAAATGCCCTCTATCCCAGCACATAAACCATCACCAGAATGACAGCAGAATCACAGAGTCACAGAATATGCTGAGTTGGAAGAGACCCATCAGGATCATTGAGTCCAACCCTCAGCCCTGCACAGACCCATCCCCAAAAGTCACACTAAGCGCCCCAGAGGATCATCCAAACACTCCTGGAGCTCTGGCAGCCTTGGTGCTGTGACCACTGCCCTGGGGAGCCTATTCAGTGCCCAACCACCCTCTGGGGGAAGAACCTTTTCCTGAGATCCAACCTAAATCTCCCTGGACACAACATGAGGCCATTCCCTGGGGTCCTGTCCCTGGTCCCCACAAAGCAGAGATCAGTGCCTGCCCCTCCTCTTCCCCTCCCAAGGAAGCTGTAACTGGAATGAAATCTCCCCTCAGTCTCCTCTTCTCCAGCCCTCAGCCACTCCTCACACAGTTTCCCCTCAAGGACCTTCCCCATGTCCGTTGCCCTCCTTTGGACGCTCTCTATGAGCTTAAAACAATTTAGCACTCTTCCATCTATGCTCTGGCTTTGGGATTGCGCTTTGAGACATGAACCTCGTGCCACTGGTTTGGCACAAAGGTGTAAGCAGCTTTTTGCCCTGGAGCACAGATTGTGTCAGTACACACATGGAGAAACTAAGAAGTCAGTGACAGGCCCGGCTGGCTCCATGCCGTGTTCACGGAAATCGAGCTGAACATATTTACCTGCTGTAAAAATAACCCGTGAGTGCAACAGAAGTTTTTTCACACTTACATTACTTTATTTTTAAACAAAGATACCAGATGTAGTTTGTGTGTGTTCCCACCACCAAGATTTTATGCATCACCCCTGAGCAGGCTGAGCCTCTCTTTAACAGGACAGAGCCTGTGGATGGAACCACATGAAGTGATTTATGGCAGGGACAGACAGGGCAGGGTGTTCCTGGTGTGGTACAAGGGTGTTCTCAGGCTGCTGATGGTTCATTAGAGCTTTCCAAGAAAAATTTCCATCTTGTTCTTGGAATCCAGGGTAGAGGGAGGCTGGGACAGCAATAATGGGACAAAGACTTCAGCCAGCCTTCAGGAGCTTTAATGCCTGGTTATAGCCCAGAGTTGACCCACCAGCTGTAGAAGTACTGGTGTTTATAGAGTATGGATGGATGGCCAGCTCTGCACAGCCTGGGCTGTGATTAGCTACACACAAATGGGGAAAAATGTGAACTTTTTAAACCAAATGCCTTAACAGATCAATGAAGAATCACAGAATATGCTGAGTTGGAAGGGACCCATCAGGATCATTGAGTCCAACCCCTGGCCCTGCCCAGGACCATCCCCAAGAGTCACACCACATGTCCCAGAATATCATCCAAACGCTCCTTGAGCTCTGGCAGCCTTGGTGCTGTGACCACTGCCCTGGGGAGCCTGTTCAGTGCCCAACCACCCTCTGGGGGAAGATACAGTCACTTTGAGTGCATATGAAAAGACAAAATGCCACCAGAAGCTGTGCTAAGAAAGATGGTCACACCTGTTCCCCCACAGAGAGTTATTCACTGCTTCTTTAGCCGTTGTCTGCAAGGAGCCCATTTTAACGTGCGCATTGGAGGACCCTGAGGAAGCCTGGGAAGGGGAATAGTCTGAGTAAGTGCCTGAGGAAACGCTGTTATTCAGACAATGGATCTTATCTGCTTCAGACTCATCTGTCGACTCTGAAACAAAACACAGCAAATGCTTTCAGAGTGTGGCATTTGAGAATTAAACTCCAGAAAAACACATTTTTAAATTGGAATTATGGACATATATATATATGTGTGTGCTTGTGTGTGCACAAATATGCATGGGATTTGTTTTAAAATCACAGAGAAAGGTAGAACATTTCCAAGAACATCTCTCCTTGCATATCACACACGTTTTCATCTCAAAGGTTGTTGTAAACCAAGTCAGTACCTTTCTTGTCTTTACCCAGCAGAACGAGTTTGGGGGGGTACAACGGAGTCTCAGGCATGGAAGGACGGAGCTCCCCTATCCTCATCTCACTGGCAGGATGTCCAAAGGCATCCTGAGGAATATAAAAATGAACAATAAACACATGGATGTCCCAAGGCATCCTGACAAACATAATAATGAAGAGTAAACACAGGAGACAGATTCCACTTCAAACTGCAAGGCACAAACATTTCCCAGCCTTCTCCTCACAACACACCAACCCCACCATATGGGCAGTGTCTAATCATGCTGATTTGTCAGCTGAAAGTTCTAATTAGTCCTCCAGAAATACTCCTAAAAATTATGGTGATGTGCTCATTCTGGAAATGTAGACAAAACAGATGGAACTTGTGAGATACATCAAGGCCATGTAAACATTTTGGATGAAGTCAAGGTCACAAAAACAAGCTGCCAGCAGAAAAAAACCCACAAATTGGGAGTAAACAATTGTTATTTCAGGAGGAAACGTTCCTCATTCAGTTATTCATGGCCCAAGTTCCTCCATAGATTCAGCTGACCCTGTAGCTATATTTAATTAAAATGGCTTTGTCTATAAAGGGTTTGTGGCTAAATTAAAATTATTCAGATTTAATAAACTTCTCACTGAGAGTTCAGTACACCTTGACCTTCAAAGGGATATATACAGAATATAAAATGGAAAAATGTTGAAGGGAAGTAGGATGTAGTCTTAGAAAGAGGTGTTTTAAATTAGGACATTTAGGCTCATAGGACAGTTAGAAGGCAATGAAGTCACAAGGAGGAATTTTGGGGAGAAAGTTCAGAGCTGAGGGTGAGTGTCCTGGGGAGACAGGGAGGGGTGTGACATGTACTGCAGGGATGACACTGGTACCCTGCCCTCAGGAAGGGACTGGAGGAAAGGGAGCCTGAAGGATGGGCAATCTGGGAAACCCACTTTATGGGTGGTACCCAGCTCAGGAAAATGTCATGGAAAGAGAACTGGTGGAGATGGAAAGCTCAACCAATGCAACCAGGATCCTTGTGAGAGGAGGAGCTGTCATTCTGTAAAGAGGATGGAGGCTGGAGAAAGACAGTATGTACTAAAACACAGGAAGTTTTGAAGGAATATTAGGGTAAAATCCATAACTAATAGTAAGAATGAGGACAGAAACAGGAGAAATATACTTAAGAGGGAACTTATAGTAATGGGACACCATGAGGGTCTCTGTACCCTGACACGTTGCTGGTAAAGGTTCTCCTGTGAGTTTGGAGAGTGAAGTTAATAAGGAGAGATGTAATAATTAAACAATTTTAACTGTAGTACCCAAGCCAAACACACTCACTGAGTTCATACATTTGTGTGGAAGGAGGTGTGGAAGAAGATAAGGATTTGAGTCATTGTTAAAATGTAAAATGCTCCAATATTTTTTAATTATTTTTTTTTGCTTTTACTCATCAGGAGCAAACTTTCAGAGGTTTCCTCTCCATTAACTACTTTTTGTAGTAACAGTGGAAATAGAGATTTGTAGAAACCTCTGCCATGCAATTTATCCTTGAAGAATATAATTATATTTACACAACAGCTATTTTAATCCTTCTGTACTAGGTGTTCTGCTGGAGGCAGGACCTTTCCAAACCAGCAAAAAACGGGCATCCCCAACTTAATTAAACTCCTCAGGACTAACATTTAGGGAAATAGTTACAAAGTGTGATACAGCCAAGACCTTCCTTCCCCATGCAGAGACCCCAGGATGTCTGTGGTGCTCTGTAGGTGACAGAGTGATATCCACACAACTCAACAACAGTGCAACATCCTTTCTCCAGTGGAGCACAACCAGTTACCAGTGCAGTGTGACAAACTCGTGCAAAACCAGGGTTTTTTTTGAGAAATAAGAGTGCTCAGCACTGCAGAGTGTGAAATTCTCCCCTTGTGACACCCACAGTGCCTGTCATGGGTCTGGCTGTACCTCTGAACTCTTGGTGCCCTCGGCTTTCTCCTCCCTGTCTGAGGCTTCCAGAGGTGATTCCTGAGTGTTCTCTGTCTCAGACAGGGGATTCTTTGGGAATTCTTTATTTTCTTTATCTTGAACCTGGAATCCCAACATCACGCCATGAAACTTCCAAAAGTTGTAAGTTATAACCCCCCTTGCTGTAAGAACCACCAGTTCCATTTTTGACACCATGATGAACACAGGGTTTTATTTCAGATGCATGATTTTAGGAAGTTCTTTATCTTATACTATTTTCTTTTTAGCCCCTAATCCAGTTATTCCAACAAAAATCAATGCACTTTCTAAAGAACCAGTCTGGCATTTGTGAATATGCCATGAATGTGAAAGATGTTGTAAAAACCTCAAATCATATTCCATTTAATTCGACTCTCTTTAAGAGGACCTTGCTCTTACAAGCTCAAGAACAAAAAGGTCACTAATAGGAAAAAAGTATTGTGAATAGGAGCAATCGCAAAAAGAAAGGGAAGAGATAAATCAAATTGTGTTATTCCTCAGGACTAACTAGAGAAGGATACAGGGAGAAGACAGAAAACTGTAGTAAGCTGTTTCCCAAGATAAAACACATGGGAAAGACCATTAAAACAACTGAGAAAGAAAAATATCACCAAGAATTCAGGCTGAGAACACAAGAACATTAAATTATAATCTGGAGAGATGGAATTTCCCCTTCCATAGAATCCCAGAATGGTTTGGGTTGAAAGGGACCTTAAAGTCCATCCAGTTCCACCCCATGCCATGGGCAGGGACATCTTCCACTAACTCAGGTTGCTCCAAGGCCCATCCAACCTGGCCTTGAACACTTCCAGGGATGGGGCAGCCACAGCTTCTCTAGGACACCTGAGAAGTTGGATATTCTTAGAATATTCTTGATATGAACTGTAAAGAACCAAATTGCTCATTTGTGGGATTCCTCACTGTTTCTCATGGAAAGGTGACACAAAATTATCCCAGCCTCCTACTTGCCCAAAACTCACATGTTTCAAAATGACCTAGAAAAATGAAGAGGTTTGTTATAATTGCTGACTAATCAAGACATTGTTTGCTTATTGTAAGTGAAGGCAGAGGACGGTGCAGGGGATTTGAAATGCAGCTTCTTACTCATTTCAGATGCTCCCTTTAATTATTTAGAAACAGTTTGTGAACAGACATGTGTAAATTAATTGCAAGAAAACCCAAAAGAGATCAGAACAGAAACCACCTTATCTGGTCTCTGAGGATGAGAAGTGAGCATTGCATCTGAAATTAAATTACCTTGGTATTAGAAACTGCCTTCAGTCTTTAGCTCTATGAGAACACACCTGCAATTTCAAACTGTCTTTTAACTTGAGGCTCGAGATCGTGTCTCCTAATTATCTGAAAAGCAAACGGAGCTTAATTATGTTTTATTTAATGTGTTACAACTGAAATCAGGCCAATATTGTTCGCAAAATTATTCACACTTTTCCTACAGTTTCCCCCATGTCTTTATCTTCCTGCAGGAAGCCAAAGAGAGAAAAATGTATTTACAACTCCCCGCTTGGAGCCAAAATGCTTTCCTGGTGTCAGTGTTGGGAGGAGGGACAAGAACACTCCTTTTCTTTTCCTTACCTGATGAAATAGTTGTATTACTAGTCTCGACTATGTACCACGGAAATTAAAATGTGAAAAAGTCCCCCCTCCTCACTATTGTAATAACAGAAGATGAAAAACCCTCTCCAATGATCCATGGGAACAGTGGTGCACTCGCAGCAGCTGCTTGTGGGAGACAATTAAGGAGGAAATTGCACTCCCATTATTTAATTGCACTTCAGGAATTACCATGGGGTCTGTCTGCAGCAATTCAGCTGGTTTTGCAGAATGCTTTTTGTGAGACTTGTGCCACTGACAGCTCCTGTACCTCCACACAAAACCAGAGTAACTCATATTTCATGCTGTCACTGCCACTTACTCCTTCCTTACACCTCCCTAATGTGGGATCCCTGGGCTCTGCCTGCTCACATGACCCTGTGGGACTCAGCTCACTGGGATTTTCATTAAAAAAACTTCACATTTAATTGAACAAATGTTAACAAACCAGGACTGACTTCTGGAGGCTGCATCACCAACCACAGCCAAGGGACCAAACACCTAAAGCCTCTGTCAGGCCCTATGGATCAAATTCCTGATGGATAATGCTTAGGGATAATTCAAACCCACTGAAAGTTGTCAGGAATATTCAAGTTCAAAACCTAGATAATACAAAATAAATTCTATGTATTCAGCAACAAAAGCAGAACATGTAAAGACTCCTGGCCCAAGTTGTTTAAAGCCCAGATTTACACAGTAAGAACTTAATAAACAAAAAAGAATAATGGTGGAATTTATGATTTCAGATTTAGATGAAAACATGAATGATTTAACTTAAATACCTTACTTTAAACGAAATATTTAACTGAAATATTTTAATGCTAATTGAAACTGTGCCTAGATTTGAAAGAAGTCTTCTGAAGCATCTCAAAGGGAAAACTTTTGTTGGTTATTTTGGTAAGAAATGAAAATGTTTACCTGCAAATAAAACACACAGCACTGACAGAGCAGCTACAGCTGAGTATGTAAGAATAGCCCATTTGTGTTAATGACATGGAAAATTTAGGAAGAACAATTCCTGCACACACAAGAAGCCAGAGACAAGGATATTTCAAGGACAATGAGTTTCTCATAATGTTTAGACAACAAAGGAGTAAAAAAGAATGTGAGAATGTTTTTCCTCAGTTATTTCTTTTCAACATTAAGGCTTTGTAAAGATTTTCAGGAATGCTGATGTTCCTGTAGACCTATCCAAGGTTATAAACCATCAGGGGAAGAGAATTCCCTTATTTCTGAATGGTGCCCGCACACAGTTAGGGTGTCCACAGGTAGATGAGATCAAGCTCCTGCTATTTGGAACAGTAGGATTTAGGAATTTTGCTTCCTTAATGACTATATTTGTCTTGGAATAGAACTTTGCCCCTGTTTCTGCTGATCCACTGCAGGCAAACACTTTAAGAGCTGGATTCTGCAACTCACTGTAAGTCAGTATTCAGGGATACCTGATCCAAAGCTCCCTGCAGTGGGAGAAGTTCTTCTGCTGCCTTCACAAACTTTGGACAAGGTTAATTGGGTTTCTCCTAATAATAGAAACTGAGGGAGCAGGACCTCATGGCACAGTAGGGTCAGACACAACCAGCTGGTTGGTCATTAACGCATCGGAGGCGGGAATGCATGTACTGAAGGCTGAGGTGGAAATAAGCTTGGTCCTTCCTCCTGCTCCTGTGCAAGTCTCATACTATTAAAATTGTCTAAATCAACAGCAAAATTCAGATCTAGGTAGATTTCAACCCAAAAATTCAGCAGTATTGGGAAAAACAGCAACTCAATATACAACTGAATGAACTTTACAGGTGAAAGGTGTGAGGTCACAGCAGACGCAGAATTATCATTTGGAGAAGTTGTGTTCAAACCTGGGACTCTGGAGAGGAACAAGGAGCCTTTACATTACCTCCACTGAAATCTCCTTGGGTGTCATGGGCCATTTGTGCTCATACTTGTCTTTCACCCCTTGGTCACTGTTGGCAGCGGGTGCAGAGTTCTCGGGCCGCACTCCATGGCTGGGTTTGCCCACCAGGTTTTGGACTGATTTGACCATATTCTTTAAATCCTCCGGGTAGGGAGTGGGGTAACGTTTTAGATTTATTTCAACCTGAACATTCACAAAAAGAATTAAAGCACAAATACAAAATGCAAACAGCATGCAAACTAACCCATTGTTACAGTACTGGGGTTCAGGGCACATCTCTTACGTTTGGGATAATTTGAGGTGTTACACAGAGATATTTGCATGGAGTTTGGGACTGAAATGTGCTCAGTTACTCTATGTCAACCTATAACAGAATTCCAGTGACATAAAATAATGGATGGGAATGGCTCCCTACGATCTTTTACCCTGGGAGACTCTTGTATGTTAATCATGCACTTTGCTTGAGAGTGCTGACATATTCCATCCCACTTCCCCAAACAATGATGGTGTAAATGCAGAATTAATTTAGCTACTTTCTATGTACTCAATTAATCTGAATTATGGATGGCATCTGAGAGCAGTAGCTGATCCCCTGGGAGCCATTTGCTCTTGGAGATGGATAATGTTCCTACTGGCACTCGAGTGCATCCTACTCTTCTCTCACACAGGAGAACAGACTCAAACCACCACAGACAGGATCCCCACAAGGCCTAAATGGTGCTTTAACTGACTGATATACCCACAGATTTTCTAGAAAACCCCACATTTTAAATTTCAAAGTTTCCCAGAGGGATCTGTGTGTGTCAGGATAACTGTGAAACACATTTACGATGTGGTAAAGTATTTGGAATCATCTACCACAAAGCAGTTTTTACCTCATTGTGGAAGTGAGGTAAGAAAAGGAGCATGTTTTAACAGCTCACTGTTATGGTGGGAAAAATGTAATTTTGGATTCAAATGAAAATGGTCTGTCAATAGGAATATTTCAGAGGCAGAAGAATGATTGGTTTGGAAAATAAAACTATATGAAATACTGGCATAGAGTTCTGAACTACAAGGGAATAAACATTACAGGGAGTAGGTTCTAACATGAACAGAAAATGTCCAAATGTATGACTGGGATGTCATATGTTAATAAAGAATTCCAACAGAAAAGATAAATTGAGGATGGAAAGTAGCAATAAAGCCCTGGGTGATTTATAGTTGAAAGAAATCTTATTTAGAGCTGGCCTAATTAGGCAGTTGGTTTCTCCTACAACTCAGACCATGGTTTAAGGGGAAGGTCTGAGACAGACATGGCCAAAAGCCAAGTCCCAGCAAATTCTCAGTAAAAACTAGTCAGGGAAAATTAACTGGAAGAGTTGGATGAGAGAGACAAATCCTAGACACGGATTTCAGCAGAGTTTGCCATGACTGTGAGTTTTAATATTAAACAGCAGAACTCCTGGCTGCTGTGGAGGGTGAGAGAACTGGAATGCAGATATTTTCCTCACTGATCCAGAGCTTTCATCAGAGAGGAAATCTGTATTCCCTGTCAGTACTATTCCTGTGGGTTTAATGATACATCAAAAGCAGCCTGACCCCAAAGAGAGAATTCTCAAAGTTCAAAATTCTCAATGGAAAAAGTTATTGAACAATTCCAATTACCAAATCTATCTTAACATATGTTTGGCTGAGAGTTCAGTCTTAACTCTGAAAGATAAAAAGTGAAATCTGTGTATAATCTATGCTGCTATAAATGCTGCAGTGTTGGTGGTTACTGCCTGTTGAGAATTTAAATTAACCTGCAAATTTCTCCCTTAAAGGTCTGGTGGAACTGCTAAAAATGTACATGTTGAAACCTCCCCATGAACTATTGCAACCCATGGCTGGAGGGACTCACTTGAATATCTTAGAAGGTTCCAGCAACGAGCTTTTAGTTCCTGTGTGGGCATCTATACAAATCCCATCTCATCCCACCCACTGCCATGGGCAGGGACACCTTCCACTAGCCCAGGTTGCTCCAAACCCTGTCCAACCCGGCCTTGGATATATTTTAGTGTCAAACTCTTCCTCATGTTCTGCTGCCTCCTCACCTTCTAAAGAACTAAGACAATTATTTAAAGTCTCAAATTAACACTCGTGTTAATTCTGGTTTTGTGACAATCACTTGTCACAGCAGGAACCTGAATAGGAATAGGTTTCTGGATATTTAGAACACAAAAGTAATTAAATTCAAGACCTGTATACTGGACCCTGTCCATAATATGCTAATACCAAAATAAACCAAACAGAACATACTTTAACTTTCCCTGGGTTTTCCTCCTCTTCCTTTTTGTCTTCAAACTCAAATGCCACAGTCATGCGCTGCTGCCTCTGCTCCTCCCACAGAGTGGGGTTAAAACTGTCACTGTCCGACTGGAAATCTGCAGAGAAAGGGCAAAGAGACAGGAACCAGCAGTTGCTGCACCCCAAGGATGGGAAGGGTCTAAAAAGGCTTTTCTTCATTGATCACACAGTCTTGGGTTATTGTTTGAAAACTTGAGGGGGGCAATGACAGTGGGAACTGAGAAACCACAACAGAGTTGTTAGAAAAATTGTGGTGAGAGTGATGGGAAGCAACAGGGTTTGGGGCACACCTGGAGCACAGGGGGAGTATGAAAACTCTAATTTAATGTTGCGTTGTAAGGAGCCAAACCCTGAACTTAGGCAGGCTGGGACCTCTGAACTCCCCTCCCTGTGGGCGGACACCCCCAGCTGCCAGATGGGGCCAGTCTCTGGCCAACAAAGCCCACAATTCCTTCCCGTGCACACTCAGATCCAGACCCAAACTGCTTTTACAAAGCCACTCTGGAAATGAAAGTGCTCTAGAAAATATAAATCTGATGGCCTGAGAATGACAGATTCCTCTGTGTGTGCCAAAATAGGGATGTCTGTGTGTCCCATGGGCTTGGCATGAGGAGACACACACAGAGCCACGTCGGAACCCTCTCTCTGGATTTCCTCCTCTCTCTGGATCTCCTCCTCCTTCCGGATTTCCTCCAGCCTCTAAACAAACCCCATTCCTGCCTTGTTGGTGTTTTACCTTCATCACTGCGGGGCTGCTGGGGGAACATGTAGTTGGTCAGCACTCGCTGCTTGGTTTCAGGATGTGCCTCCGTCTGCAGCGGGATGAGAGCCTTGGACTGGAGAGGAAAACCAGAGCAGTTACCTCAGAGTGTGAGCTGAGATGGGATTTGGTTTCTGATAAACAGGGAATACAAGAATATCTACAATTCTGTGTGAAAAGAAACTCCCTGTGGACTAAAACAAGTGCTAAGCTGGTGGTAATACCTCCCCTCCCATTCCTCCCTTCTGCAATTCCTGCAATTCCCACCAGGATGGGCAAAACATCTGGAATAATGAGTGCTCTGAGCTGAGGAAGGAAAAAAGTCAGAGCACAGACCTGTCACTGCATGGTTAATCCACAGTAGAATTCAATGTCTCCAGTTACAGGACTCAGAGAAAAATTCCCAGATGGGAAAAATATTGAAAAGAAAAATCAAGAATTTCCAAGAAGATTAAAATGGAATGTTAAATAGCTATTAATCAGAGTACTGTTAATTTTAAATTTAAAATATTATTTAAATCTCCTCAGATGATTTTGCATATTATTTTTTTTAACATTTTATGTAAAACACCCCCACTAGGTCTGTGATCTAGTTTAAGCTAGAGCTAACGAGGAGTTAATTAATGATGGAGGAGTAAATTCAGAGTAGTTGCCTGTTCTGAGAGTAAACCTGCTGCAAGATACTGGAGGACTTACATGGAGCCACTCTGAATGTTCAGATGTTGTGCTTCACTTTAACTGATGAGATTTTATTATTGATTTATTCTAATGTAACACCAGGAGTGACTGTCACAGTCCACAGAATGGAAACTAATCCATCCTACACCAAAGAAAAGCCAAATGCTGGAAAACCTCGCATATTTAAAAGGAAGTGGCTGTTCTGTGCCTGGGCTGCGCAGCCATGGAATGCTAATTTTTTTAAATGGAAATTAGAGTGAAAAAAACCAAGAATCCTAATTTAACACATTAAAATTTAATCATCATTTTCTATTACCCCTCCCTTCAGCTTTCCCATTTTTGGCTCAGTTATAAAAGCAAATGTACATTTAAGACTTATTTTAGTGCTCAGCTGCTGGTTGAACTGTTGCATTTCTCAGAGTTCATGTTACATAATTTGCTTTAAAATAGAACCCCAAAGAATCTCTAGTTAAAACCAAAGCCCTCAGACAAAGAAAGGCACCCTCAGATTTAAGAGGAACATAAATGAGTTTTCTCCAAACCAAGACTCAGAGTTCTTGTGCATCTTTGACATGTTTAGACTGCCCCTGAGTACAGTGAAATTTAAAATATGCAGGAAGAGAAGAATAGATAGGAAAAGGGAAAAGGAAGACAAAAATAGAGGTGTAGATGGAGCAAATGATGGGACAAACCACTAACAAGGTTGGTAGCAAAGCCTTATATACTGAATTTATTTTTAATAACTATTCTTTTGCTATTTTCCCCCTTTATTTACTACTTTTGTAAGGACAGAGAAGCTAATCTAGGTGAAATAAATCCTGCAAAGGTGCTTTTTCCAAGTTACTAAAGGACAGCCAGCAGGATCTACACCTTGATATGAAAGTATAAAGCTGGGCTGGAGAAAGTTTGATACAACCATGGATTAAATGACAGGTTTCATTTACAGCCCTTCCAATGACTCCTTAAATAAGGAAAATATAAATACTGAAAGGCATTACCTGGTTGTCAGAAAGCCACAAAGCTGCAAGTTCTTTGAGTTTAGTAAAAGTGAAGGGTAAATTCTTCAGTCTGTAAATGATAAAATTGGAACAACATGAATCCTTCATTTCCACAATAGTTTGTTTAAAGATTTGTCGGCAAGATGTTTTGTCTTGATCATACTGAAATGTTTGTAATTTCACAGCTTTTTTTCTTGTTTTTTACTAAAATACAATATTTTATTAAGGGCATTCCATGTTAAGAGAGATATTTGGAATCTAAAATGCTGGCACCACACCCTAAGGTACTGAGGAGTTACTGATATTTTGCCTTGGCAAAATGTAGCCAAAATTACACTTATAACACAGAAAATAGAAAAATCTTTGTCCCAGGAAGACTTATAGGAAAGATCTCAGTGTAGCTCCCAGAATTCCTTTTATTGGACATTGGAGTTTTGTAACTGAATCACTCTGAGATCAAGGAAAATCATTTTTGTTGAAACGTCAGACAAAGGATTAAAATAATATAAATATTCATAGTGAACCTAAATGACAAAATTAAACGAAGCAGCAAAAAATTAGCATTTTAATTAGACATTTAAACATATTTCCTAAAAGTGATCTGCATATGGGAATGGGAAATGATGACACAATGTTTGCAGAGAATTCATTCATGTTTTTCCCACTAACTCATCCTGAACATGAATTTTTACTCCTCAGTCATCATGTAGTCCCAGACTGGTTTTAGCTGGGAGGGACCTTAAAAATGAGCCAGTTCCACCCCCTGCCATGGGCAGGGACACATTCCATTATCCCAGGTTGCTCCAAGCCCCATCCAACCTGGCCTTGGACACTTCCAGGGATGGGGCAGCCACAGCTTCTCTGGGCAACCTGTGCCAGGGCCTCACCACGCTCACAGGGAAGGATTCCTTCCCAATATCCCACCTAAACCTCCTCTGTACCAACACATGGCCTGTCCCAGCCATGGACTGATGTTCTCTCAGCTTTTGTCCAGAGTTTAAGGAGCTGGAGGACAGTGGGAAGGGATGTATTGACCACAGGACCTTCGACAAAGACTAAACCTAAATGTGATTTGGCAAAAAGAAAAGAGGAGAAGCCCTTTTCTGATAGTCAGACAACCACACTCTGGGGAAACAAAGGCTCTCACAGACATATTGGCTCCAAGCTCAGTAAAACCAGGTAAGCCATTTCCAGGTGCTGCATCACTGGGAAAGCCCTCTGTCCCTGTACCAGCAACATTCCTACAGTCTCCTTCACACAAAAAATCTGTATTTCTGGGAGATGAGCCACTCACAAGCATTTGTACCATTGTCTCCATGCAGCAAACCTTTGGAATTGTCTCCCTTATGGAATTTGGATGTCTTTTTGCCACAAGCTCATTCCCATTAACACTGGGGCTTTTTTGGACCGCAGCGTGTCCGTAAGGCATTGGAATTGTTTTAATAAGGATGTATTAGACTAGAAATCAGTTTTCTCTAAAAGTGAAATATAAAAATGAATGTTTGCACACGCAGTTAAAACTCCAGTTAAATGCCTCTGGAGATTAGAGCAGCTTTCCTTGTGTGCACACATTTAAACCCAGAATTAATGGCACAGGAGAAAGTAAGGAGAGCCTGACCTACCTGAAACAGTTTTCATTGCTGTCTTATCATAAAACAAATGCATTGTTTAATCTGAGGAGCTTTTCTAACTTGTGTGGGTGAATTCTGAGCCCAGGACAGAAGCAGTGCACACACAGAAAGGGGAGGGTTCTTTCAGCTCTTTCAAGAACAATCTAGAACTAAAAGAAAGGTTACTTACCAGTAACCGATGTCTTTGAGAAGTGTAGCCCAAATGTACATTCTAACAATTCTACCTCTCAATCACAGGGCTCAGACCTGGAAGGACTCTGAGGAGAGAGGAGAAGCAGATGGAAGACAGGTGTGTATGTGGACTACACATGGTGAGAACACCGGTTACTGGTAAGTCACACAGCTCTTTTCTCTGCATGAATCCCACGTGTACCCTGAGCCTCCCAGGGGCTCAGCACTGCTGGAGCTTTCACACCAGCAGCACCTGCACAACCACTTCATCAAACTTCTCGGTTCTCCTGGACTAGAGTGTGCCGGGCAAAGGCAAGGATGGATCCCAAGGAGTCTGGAGTCAAACCTGTCCCGACTGACCACAGAGTGTGAAGCCATCTCAGCTGGCCAGCTGCACTCCAGCCCTCCTGAGACTCCACCTCAGCAATCAGGGTCCAACCCATCATGGCCTATCAGAGCCAACCGAATCCTGCACTTTCCAGAGCCTGTGGGAGATTGGAAAGGTTTGGACCTGTAAAGATAAAAGGAGAGAGGACTCCCAGCTACAGAGATGAGAAGTTCAGATATCACTGGCGTGGGAAAGGAAAGCTGGAGCCTATTTCTCTGGTGAAAGGGGAATTCTAACATGGATATTTGAAGGAAGTCCTGAAACTAAAACAGCTTCTGGTCAGTTAAGATGAGCAAGGTCCATCTTACAGTGCTGAGGAGAAGACACAGAACAGAGTGAAAGTCTGTAGTAGCTGATACCACAGAACTAAACACTGACCCTCCTGTGTGCAAAATGTGTCACCTCGCAAAATGTGAGGTTCCCGTTAGCTGGGGGGGCAAAGAGGTCTGTGTCAGGTTTGCCTCCTCCCTCAAAGACATCCAAGTGCCCCATTTACAGTCATCGTTGTAGGCACCAAAGGGGAAATTTGGCATATGGCAAAGGACAAGGAGATGGCCCTGAGGTATCACTCCCTGGGATGAACCTGCAGTGGGCAGATCACCAGTGGAAGACGCTGTTCCCTCTGTAAAACTCCAGCTCCATGGTGATGGATCCATCATATGAACTGACTGTCACACGGACAGTCTGTTCCCTTGGCAAGGAAATAACATGCCAGGATGCATGAGCAACTGGACACTGCCAGGATGGACATGGAATCCCTCTGGTGTCAGGAGAGAAAGTCACAAAGGGCTGACCAGCAAATTCTGATGGAATATGTACAATCCATCCTTGTTTGTTATAAAGCACAGGGAGTGACAGCTGCTCCTCAAAAGCTTTGTGCATCAGCAGTGCTTGGGTAAAGGGTCCCTCTTAGAGGGGCCCAGGGTTCAGCAGGTCCCATAACAAGTTGAGAGGGAAACAGCTGATGCACATCCCAGGATCCAGGAGCCCATCACAACAGGGTGAAGCTCAGGAGGCTCCAGAATCACCCATCTGCTCTGCTTGTGTGTGTCTCTGTCTCTTCTTCCAATGGCTTGAAGGGGTACCCAGGAAAAGAGCTGGTGTGCTCTACCTCCTGTGAGATCTGGAGAAAAGCAGAGGGGCAAAACTGCTGTGGGAACATGGGAAGGCTCCCAGCAGGAAGCAGAGCCCAGACACCCTTCTCTTAAGCAGGTACATGTGGACTCATTCAAAGAAAGAACAACATTGCCTGAATGTTAATGAAAATGGGATGAGAGAAAAGTAAAAAAAAAAACAAAAACATTAAAAACTCCAGCATTAAGAAGGAATCTGAACTTTGTCCAAGCTCTTTGGTGCCAAAATGTGAAAACTTTTTAGTTTCATTGCAGTGGGAAGTTCCATGGCACAAGAATTATCACAACATCTCAGCAGAGCAACACTGAACCTCAGCCAGAGCTGATAGCAAGGAAGGAGGAAAGATTTACTGCCCAAACCACTCCAGAAAAGTACATGAGACAATTCAACCAGTTTTAAAGAAAATTCAGCTGAGTTTAAAGGTTGAATGTCTATAGGGGGGGAGTCAGTTTTTATCTGTCCCAGTCCAGACTCCACTCTCCTAGTGGTTCCACAATGCTCACAGCTCACTGCACAGCTTTCCAGGAGGACTGGAGAAAAGAGCTTACCACCACCACACACCCCTGAAGGGGGGTGGGAAGGATAGCAGCTGCCACATCCCACCCCAAGGAACATCCCATCCCATCCCATCCCATCCCATCCCATCCCATCCCATCCCATCCCATCCCATCCCATCCCAAGGAACATCCCATCACTGGGACGCTGGTCCCATAACTACCTTCCTCCCCAGTGGAAATCCCAATCCTGTCCTAGCTGGGCAGCTGGGGAAAAGGAACTGGGGCGGGACAGCTGTTTTGGTGGGATCCAGCTCCTGGGTCAGCCTAGCTGGGAAGACCTGTCTGCTCTCGCTCCCTCTCAGCCATGAGCTGCCCTTCCCTGTCTCTCCTCAGCACTCACAGTCCCTCACCACACTGAAGTGATGGGACTGAAAACAGTAGCTGACCTGGCTGAAAAGTCACTGGGGAAAAAAATGGGAAACGAAATCCAAATAAACCCCATTGGTTTCCTGTCCCTCACCTCAGACTCACGGCACAATCACAGGTTGGAAAAGGGGCAGTGACCCAGCTCAGAGCGGTTTCATGTGCCAGGGAAGGCACCTGTACCCTGAACTCCCAAGTGCCCAGGATTAGGGTTGTCCTCCCACCTCCACACTCCTGTGCCCACCTATGTCCCCTCCCACGTGCCACCACAGCTGCTGGGCAGGAACCAGACACGGAAAGGTCCACCTGAAAATTCCCTGTATTTGAGACAGGCTGCATTCACTTGCATCACTTATGGATCCAGGATGACAGACATCTGGACAAAACCACAGCAGGACAGGACAGGACAGGGCACATGGATGCAGGGACAGGAAGGGAAGCCAGCCTGCCTTTGTGGCAGGAATGGCAACTGGAGTGGTTTGGAAGTGTTGTTTCAGACTCTGTCTGTACAGATAAAGGCACAAACGCACACTGCTGCCACCAGTATGCTGATGGGGGTCACACCTGTCCTCAGGAAAGCATTGCAGTCTGGAACCCAAAATCAAGAGACCCACCATTTGATCACAGAGTTATAGATTCATGGAATTGTTTAAGTTGGAAAAGCCCTCTGACACCATCAAGTCCAACCATTCCCCAGCACTGCCAAGGCCACTGCTAACTCATGTCCCCAAGTGCCACACCCATACAGCTTCTAAATCTCTCCAGGGATGGGGACTCCACCACTGCCAGGGCCAGACAAGCTCCTCCATAAGGAATTTTCCCTAATATCCAACCTAAACCTCCCCTAGTGCCACCTGTAGGCATTTCCTGATTCTGGGATTTGGACAGTCACAAGACAAACTAGACTCAAGTTTAACTTTCCATTCTGGTCCAGCCATGATGGATTTTATGACACACAATTGCAACGCAGAAAAGAATCAACTGAATTAAACAAGCAATTTTAAACAAATATATTAAAGGGGTTCTACATTACTTCATTTTATGGTTTATATTTTATGTTCAGTTGTAATCTCAACAATGAAACTGCTGACAGCAAATCTGACACAGGGGTGGGAAGCCTTTCTCCTGATTTTTACTGAGTGTGGACGGTAATTACTGGAGAGAAAATGGAATTCATTCCCCATACGTGGCACTATCCAGCAAACCTGGATTTCTGTGCTTATGCTGAAAATTACCATATTCTTGGCACATCCACATGGATAAAGCTCAAGGCAGGCAGTCTTTGGCAGCACAGGTATCAAGAAAGGCTCAGTTTAAGCATTTTGTTTCTCATCTAAGCAGAGTCATGTGCATAAGAACACAAGAATCTGGGGGTTTTGACAAAAAAACTCTACTGAAGGAAATGAAAAATATTCCTTGAATTTTAATGATGCCAGGATAACAAACTCCTGTGCTTGCACCTCATGGTTCCCTATAGATCAGCTTTTTCACCATTAAATATTACAAACCTATATAAGCCAAATATCACATTTTTGCATGGAAACAGCAGGACATAAAAGAAGCAAATGGTTTTTAACCTATTAAAAGACACCAAGACCCAGATCTCGGCCCCACTCAACTTCTTTGGTATCAGTGGAACTAAGATCAAACCATAAAGATTAGGGAAAAAAAATCAAGATTCTTTCCTTATATTTTAAATAAAGTAAATAATAACCACGTTATTTTTAATATAATTCCAAATACATTTTTATAAAATATATTTTATATAAACATATTTTAAAAAATATCTAAAAATAACAGTTTAATTTTTTTTTTTAATAAATGCTTAAATTGGTTAAGGAAATGATGTGAACTGTACCTGTTATCGCTCAGGTTTAACACTCTCAACTTCTGCATCTGCCCAATTTCATCGGGAAGAAATTCCAGCTTGTTGGAGCGCAGAGACATCACCGTAACGTTTTTACAGCTTCCAATCTGTGGAATGAAAAAGCCAAAGGTGATGGAATCCTGCCTCTGGTAACATTTATTATCACTCACTTTTCATGGTAGGAGGTGGCTGAATTGGGTTTTTGCTGGAAGTGACAAAGAGCAGAAAATACAGAATTTAATCAGAAAGTAACACCCTCAGGGTTCCTGGGGTTACTCACTCTGCTCTTCACAGGGATATTTCAAATTTAACAAGAATTTATTAATTTACTGCTCAGTTTTTCTATTGAGCACATAAGAAAGGTTTGGTCTCCCACATCATTCCACAAACAATTGCTTTAACAGATAATTTGTCCGGGCAAGGATGAAATCTTGGGCTCCCGCAAAATGTTTCAATCTGTAATTCCAAAGCCTCTCACTTCTCTGGGCAGCTCCGGGAGGAAATTCTCATCCACAGCCAAGGTCCTCAGGTTGTGGAGGTACCCGATGGTGGAGGGCAGGGACTCCAATTCATTGCAGCTGCAGTCAAATTCTTCTAACAAAGACAAACTGGAATTGTAAATACACTCGTTAGCAGCCGTGCAAGGGGTGGAGAACCACAGTTAACAACCTAAAATCCCTGGGAGTTCTAAAGCTTCACACAACTACAGACACAGCCTTAGGAGGAAATTTTAGAGCAGATTTCCTCTACAGACCAGGTTGCTCCAAGCCCCATCCTGGCCTCGGACACTTCCAGGGATGGGGCAGCCACAGCTTCTCTGGGCAATCTGTGTCAGGGCCTCACCACCCTCACAGGGAAGCCTCACCACTCCAAGCCCTTGCAAAAGCTGGGAATACAAGTTTACTTTGTCATTTGCAACATCTGGTACAGACAGATGTGGCACAGACTGGACACAAAACACTCCTCTAACAGAACACACTGCACCCCCCTTTCATGACTTCCCTCCTGGCACCTTCCCACCCACACAGAGCATTCCCTCAGGTCCTGCAGAGAACATCTCCAGCCCTTGGCTCTAATTTAGTAACTTAATCAGTAGGAATCACTGACTTTGTGTGGAATGTTTTATTACAATGGGTCTACTGCGCAGGGCCACACTCTGAATGCCACCACAGGCTTGTCCTTTGAACAAGAGTTCCAAAAAAGAGGGTGGTGGGTCCCCACCAGCACCAGAGTTGAAATGCTCTGTGTCTCATGGAGAAATTGGTCCCTGGAGGGAGCATTCCCTCCTCCACATTGTTAATCCCTGTGTGACAGTAACAGGCTCTGTGGTAGGTACTGCCACCAGTATTTAGGAGAAAGAGACTCAGTAGAAAACTATCCAGAGGGATGAGTCAGAGAAAGCCAAGTTCATTTTGATGTGGGAGACACTGTCCTTGTTAGAGAGGGAGCACTTCATTGAAAAAGCACAACCAGTCACTCTCAAATAACATATAATATCAGATGATCAGCCTCTGCTCTGCATTCCCACCTTAGAACAGCAGTTGTGTCTTTAAAAATATAATTAAGGTTCCAAGACAAACAATACTGAACAGATATTAGGTTAAAAAACGGGAATTCCTTCAATTTGAGCAATTCAGCAAAAAAGAAAAGTTTTAGAAGGTTTTAGAAACTGACCCCCAAAACTGTTAAAGCTAAACATTAGATCAACCTTTTTGCAGCATCCAGTAGAGCTTTGAGCCTTATGAGCTTTCACTGCTCATCAGAATGTACTGCAACAAAATGATTTGAGTAGCAAAGATTTGTCCTTTAGTGATTCACATCACCAACTTTTAATGCTCTCCATGAATATTCCATAAATCTGGAGACATTATAAAAACTACAGAAGGGTAAGCCAACCTGGGCTGTCAGTGGTTGCAGCTGAAATAGTTCACAAATTTGGCTTATTTTTCCCAAATGGCACAACAGCTAAGTTATTATTGAAATAGCCAGGTTGGACAGGGCTTGGAGCAACCTGGTCTAGTGGAAGATGTCCCTGCCCATGGCAGGGGGTGGGACAGGATGAGCTTTAAGGTCCCTCCAACCCAAACCAGTCTGGGATTCTACAAACTGGTTGCTATAGAGTGTGTAGCACAGTTGGCCTCCTGATGTCCAACCTGAACTTCCCCTGGCACAGCTTTGTCTCTGCTGCATCAACACTGGTGCCCTGGGGAGGATGCAAAGTCTGGTGCCACACCTGGGGAAAGCAGCCAGGGACAAGGAGCTCTGATTTTTTTTCCCAAATATCAGTTTATATAGAATTTCAGAAGCAAAATATGTAGAGGAAGAGGCACTCTATAAAAATACCAATATTAAAGATATGTTCTGCCGGAAGGAATGTGCAGTGGGAACCTATACGAAGAATGCCCTGATTCCATCCTTAGGAACACACTGGCCTCACCCCAAATTTGACAATAAATGGCAGATTTCGGTGAGCAAAAAGCTCCAGACCCTCAGCAGGATAAGCCAGGGATCCGTGTCCTAGCTGACCCCACGAGAGCTAAAGGGAACCATTAGTGCTTCTCACAATCAATTAACAACAGGATCCTGCCCCAGCTGCAGGAAATACTTCGATCCTACCCCATCCCCATGAAATTTTCATGGCTGTTCCACTGGGACCACCGGAATATTTTAAGAAATCTCCACATGAACAAGGGTTGCAGCGTCTCCTTCCCAGACCAGCCTCAGGCCGTTGCCATGGGAACAGACGTGTTTCCCTCAAATACTCCTATTTCTTATACTTTTGCTGCTCTAATCATCTAAATTGCAAGTGATTCACACAGAAAAGTAGCCTTTTTCTTGGAAAATATAATATATTTTGCCTTTTTATCCCTCACACCAGTATAAACCCACAGAAGTAACAGTGGTACTCCAAATTTCAATGTTTTAAACTGGGTGTTAGGAGGCATTTTAAAATTATTTGAAAATTTATTTATAAAATTTGAATTATTTTATAATTCAGGATATCTTTGTCTTATTTTATATTTAAAACAAAAACAGAAGGGAAAAAAGCAGAAGAGAAAACACATTTTACTTAACGTTGAAAATCACATTAATCTCATACGCACTTTCCAATGGCATTGGGCAGAATTGTGAGCTGGTTGTCATCTACTTTCAAAGTTGTCAGCCTCTTCAACAGCCCTAGAGAGCAGGTGGGGAAAAAGTAGTAGAAAAATATTTGACATTAATATTTACTATAATCTCCCACGTGCTAAAACCCTAACGATTTCTAACACTGAATAACTCAGGTCTGGATTTTAGAGAATATCTGTGTATAGGACATGTTCTTTTAATCAAAATAAAGTCCTGATTAAATGTTAAGCTGAATTGCAAGAGAAATATTAAGTGTATTTCTATGGCCTTAAAAAATAATGTAAAAATAGATAATAATATAAATATTAATAAAACAATAATATCTTCATAAAAATAAAAGCAATAAAAATAATACTATCTTATCTATTCAGGAAGAGTAGATTTCTAATTATCTATTAATGTCTTAATAGATAATTTTCTTTATTAATGATTTTTTTCTTTATTAATTAATCAAATGCCAGTCCTGTTTAACAGTTCAAAGGGAAGTTGAAAAGAAAATATGAGGGATCAACACTGAAATGAGAGATCCAGATGTGCCTACAAGCACTTGGCTTCCAGAATTTCTATATATCCTAAAAAAATCTGAAGTTCTATGTATGAAAAATAGTCAAAAAAAGATAATTAATAGTTTGAACAATTTCATTTTTACTGCTGTAACTCAGAGCAGCAATTTCCCCCCATCACTCTCATACTTTGAAATTTAGATCACTTGTAGCCTTCTTCACTTATTTTCCTTAAAATAGCAAACCAGAAAAATCAATACTTTCTAGCCAGGGATTTTTGTTCCTGACTTTACCAAATGGTCTTTAGGGACACAGATGTTTGTGCCTCCTTTAGGATTTATTGTCAGTTCTTGGGCCACGATTTTAAAGTCTTATAATTACAAAAAAACCCATATAAATTAAATTTTCAGGTGGAACAGTTTACAAGAATCCCTGAGTTTTTCTCACCAATGGAATCTGGCAGCTGCTGCAGCATGTTGGATGACAACAGGAGATCCTCAAGCCCTTCACATCCCGAGATGTCCAAATCCACAGTTTCTATCCTGTTTTTGGACACATCCAGGTACACGAGCTGTTTTAACTTCCCTATAGACTTAATAGCACGTGAGAAAGAGTTACTTGGACAGACACACACCAGTTGCTAAGTTAATTAGAGACAAACAAGAGTGATACAGGTTCTGTTCAATTATCTCAGCACCTTTACAAGGCAGGACCAAGGTGGTCTCAGCCTCCCCTTCAGGAGCTGCACCAAACACCCCAAACTAATTAGTGTGCTCCAGATTCATTAAATCTGATGCATAGTTGAGTTCCTGATCATACAGTTGTATTATTTCTCCACCTGAACACAGACCCAAGGGATATTCACTCAAAATTTTCATCTGATGGAAGCTCCACCAAGGAAGTGAAGTTTGTCCATGTCGAACATTTAGACATTATCACTTAATTTTTATTGCTAATGAATGTGCTCCAGATTCATGAAATCTGCTGAAAAACTGAGTTCCTGGTGATACAGTTGTATTATTTCTCCATTTGGACATGGATTGAAGGGATATTCACTCAAAATTCCCATCTCATCTGCAGCCCCACCAAAGAGATGAAGATTTTCTGTGTTTAATATTTAGACATTATCATGTAACTTTTATTTCTCGATTATAATTAATGACTGTGCAGAAGGACTGTGCCCCCATGCAAGAAAATGCTCATTTACTGCCAGGTAAATAGGTCACTACATAACACAATAATTCAATTACAAAGAATAAATGTCCATACCCCAGGTAGCACTTGCAGAGAATTATTGTCCATCCACAGTTCCTTTAGATTCTGAATTTGTTCAAGAACCTCAGGCTGAGAAAAAAAATATATAATTATGGACAGTTACATATAGCAGTGGTTTTTTAATTAAATATAAATCAATTTTTGGTGTAAAAAAAAGATTCCCTCTTCACTTTCCTTTGTTTTTTTGTAACCCACATCAGCCTTTCAGATATTTAATGACAGGAAGAGCTCACTCATTTAATTTAACCACTGGTGCTCTTTTGCAAAACTTGTAAAATATAAGAATGCTTTGGAAAAGAACTGAATCCAAAGGAGAACTTGCTAGGAGAGTTGATGTCTGCAGTCGTCACACTCAGGAGTCACAATCATGGTGTGCCTTAAAATCGTAATATTAAATTTAATCTGTTTTACTCTTTTCAAACCTACAAGATCTTAATGAGAGAAGCTGAAATAGGCAATTCCCCAGATCATTTCTGACTCCTTAGAGTTGGGAAAACCAGGAACTATCAGGTCCCAAATACTCCCAACTTTCAGCTTAAGCAGTGTTTTCCTTTCTGATGAAATACTTTCCACAGCAAACCAGGACTTCCAACTTGCTTTCCTTTATCAAGGTGTAGAGATATTTTTAAGACCAGAAACCAGTACTAAATATTCCGTTTGGTCCTGACTAAACCAGGTTCAAGCATTTTAAAGGCCTGTGGTACAACTGCCCTGGAATTATCCCAACACAGCCAGAACAAATACCTCTGCCCAGCACCACTAGACCTTAAGAGAGATCTCCAATTATCCCATGTGGTCTGAGTGTTTTGCAATGTTGTCATTCCCAAGAGAAATGTGATTTTTCACTTTTCCAGGCAGGAGAAGTGCCTGATGCCTCATCAGGTAACAATAAACCTGCTCAGCAGCGGAGCTCAATCGCTCAGTTTTCCACATTGCCACATGATGTGTTTCCATTAAAAAACTATTACTTAACAATTTAAAGATTATTTATTTTGCCTCTGCTAATTCTATCGAAATTCTGTTGTCCTTCTATGATTAAATCCATTTCTCATTTCCAGGCTAAACTGATTAATGGTTATTTTATACTATTTGTTCCTATGCTGATTAATGTTTCTTTATTCCTCCAGAGTGTTCACTGACTCACTTCATTATGGATAATCATAATTTTCCCTCTCAACTTTAATTTGCTTTTAAACTCCTCTCATTAACAGACACCTTTTTCAGAGGGAACAGCCTATTCCTGTGCTGGACATAGCACAGTTTGAGGTGAAATTCCTTGAGCATGGATTATAATTTACCATTATTATGGAATTTATGGTGTACCCTGGATTATGGCACTTCATGGTTCACCAGGACCCAGATGAGATGTTTTGATATTAAAAACTTCTTTGTCTCTGTTAGAAATGCTTCAGCTGATGTCTTTTTGGAGAACATTTTCATTTTCCACATAGATTGCCACAATTGGAATAGAGTAGAGGAGAGTAGGAATAGGAATAGGAATGGATTGGAAGGGTCTTAATAAAATCAGCTGGAATGACCATCCACTCCTGATCAATTCAGTCTGACCAAAACTTTAATAAGGGAATTCCTCAAATGCCCCTTAATCCCTGAGAGGCTTGGGGCATCAACCCCCTCTCTCCAGGAATCCTGTTTCAGGTTCTGACCACCCTCTTGGTACAGAAATGCTTCCCAAGATCAAGTCTGAATTAAAGACTGACATTAATCTTCAATTAAAAATATATTACATTTTATCCTCTTACATTTTCCTTTTCTCCCTACCTTTTCCTGTTTCCTTTCCAGCTGTCATTGCTGCTCATCATCTGCCTGGTGCCAGTTTTTGACCCTTCAAATGTCAAAAAAAGGGTCTAAAACCCCCTCAGATGTCAAACCTATGTCCCATTCCTTGGGATTTACAGCTCCCAAAGCCCCAGGACATGAGTTGCCTCTTCCCTCCCTTGATTACATGAAGTCACCTGGATACAGCTGCTCTTTAGGAAGTGACAGTTTCTATTCCAGGAACCCCATGATTTGTGTCATCTTGTTTCCAGCAAAACAAATGAACAGAATTACTTCAGTTTTGAAGTGAACCCTGTACCTGTGGCTCCAGTTTGGCTGCACAGGTTCTTCAAGGGCAAAACAGTCCCAGGATGTCAAAGAAATTAACCTCTCCCACACAACCATAGCTCCAGGGAACATTTTTCTCTCAAAAAAAGGAAGTTTCTATTGAAATCCAAATCAGATTTTCAGAATCCATAAAAACAGGGCCTTTTTATCCTTTTGTTCACAGGTTTGATTTAAATTAGTACCACTTTTCCTATGGCATTCCTGCAAGGGCGAGATCACAGAACTACAGAGTGGTTTGGGCAGGGAGGGACCTTAATGATCATCCTGTTCCACCCCCTGACATAGGCAGGGACACCTTCCCAGGTTGCTCCAAGCCCTGTCCAATCTGGCCTTGGACATTTCCAGGGATGGGGCAGACACACCTTCTCTAAAATCGGTAATAGCAATTTCTAATAATTAGTAACAGCTATTTCTAATGTTTGATATAAGATATCAATGATATAAGATATAATGATAGATATTGAGAAATTAATACATAATTGATGCAAAAAATTGTTGAGATCTTCAATTCACGACCAGTGAAGTATCCCAGGAGTAACAATCTGCTCAGAAGGAGAATTCTTTGTGACCTTGACCTGAACTGCAGAAGCCTGATGGAGATGAAGCATATTCTGACATCAACATTCACCTCAGGAACCTCCTATTCCACAAGGACACGTGTCCCTCGCCCATGGCCACAATCCAGCAAACCCTTTCCACTAAAAGTTCAATGCCCCACCAACAGAGCATCCAAACCTCACAGGTTTTCTGTTCAAAAATGCTGTGTTTCTTACCAGTTCAGAGAATTCATTATTGCCCAGATCAAGTCTCTCCAGCTGAGTCAGTTTGTGCATTGACCTGTAAGAGATTAGGAAATATCTAAAATGAGATTTTAACTTGCAAAATGTCAGTCAAATTTTGCTTGGATGAAAATAAAGCTGCAATGATACTGTTCTGGTAAAAAGAATTACACCAGTTTGATGCTGATGATGCAAATTTGAACAATATATTCCACCCTTAAACTAAAAAGCAACAGTTGTTTCAGTGTAAAAATAAACAGAATCTTGGTAGAATTTTGTACAGTTTCTCAAGGAAAATGACCCTTGTTAAGTTTATAAGTAATTGAAATGAAATACAATATAAAATTGGCTTTTTGATTCAGATTTATACATTTGTGATCAACTTTTTTATAACTAGAGAGTGATTTGGCTCTTCATGGCCTGAGCTAGGCCCTCCATTGCTCTGAGGTTCAAATTTAATGGAGTTCAAAGTAAATATATCAATCACTGCCTTTGTTTCCATGAACAAAACTGGGACAGGGTTTTACCACTAGAGCAGAATTTCTCTTTTAAGCCCTGGTGGGCCAAAGTGGTCTAAATATCACACTAGGTTTGGTAAAAAAAGAGGATAAAAATAATTAATTAAGTAATTTAGCATTAACTGCAAGAGGCAGTTCAGGGGCCTTCTAAGGTAATCAAATCATAATCAAAAAATTAGCATAGTCTTAACTGCTGTGCTCTAAAATATCAACCACTTCATCTCTGCAATTTGCACCAGAGGTAAAAATGATGATCAAAAATGCTGGGACTGGAAACCAGAGCCCGGTTTTAGCATCTAAATGATGGAAAAATGAGGTTGTGCTGTGGCTGCACAGGAGCTCTGCTGCATATTTATGGCAAGGAAACTTCATTTTTAGTATGTTACAACAGGGAAATAAACTCCACAGAACTAGAAAGGTCAGTCTGCAGGAGGAGAGGGAAGCAAGTCTTTGAAACACAACAAATACGGAATTTTTGCTGATCATTGGGTGGTTTGGAAACATCCAGAAACAGGTCCAGTTTTATTTCAGCACGATTTCATCTTTCTGCCCCAACAGCCACCCTGACACACATTAATTCCCGATAAATTTGCTGCTTAATGCTGATACTTGCCCTCTTCCACACTCAGTTCACTGCTGGTTTAATTTTTCTTTTTCTACTCCCACTCTTTTCCAATGTATTTCCCAACTTATTTGATCAATGCATAAACTAACATTGGTGTGGAGGCAGATTAATTTCCATTCATTGGGGTTCCATCAAAAGATGAAGCACTGCAGAGGTCCCCAGTGGAATATTAGCTGAGATTTTCCATCAGCTGCTGCTATTTTTAGCACTCCAAGTAATTACTTTTATTTTTCTTAGGGAAAGCTTCATTATATTTTTTATGTGGGGTCATTTTATAAAGGTGGATAAGGAAAGGAGCAATTATGAGTAATGCTCAGTTAAATATTCATTATTTAAATGATGTAATGGAATGGAATTAATGTGCTGGTAAAATTGACCAAAGATTTCCCATAAATCTTTACTGGTATCACATTTGGAGCTATTTTTCCATTCATAAGTAGCTCCACTGAGGACTTCCAAAGAGAAGATCTGATTTCTGGCTCTTACGATGGAAGTCTCATTAGGTTCAGAATAAGGTGAATATTTAAATTATTTTTAAACACAATAATGGAACGTGCTAAAAAACTACAAAAGCATGAAAAACCAGCATAGAAACTAAGAACACTTAGTGAAAAATTAACATTGCTCACAACAGTTCTAAACCATAGATTATAACTCCCATGATACAATTCAGGAGTATTAATTACAATTCCTGGTAATCACCTAAATTGCCTAATTTAACTTTCTCGCATGTTTGGTTTTGCTGCCTTATTTAGAAAATACTTATTTACACATTTTAAACACATTAAATATCCAGGAAAATGCCTCGGTTTAGACTTTCTGGCAAAACAGAGGACTTATTTTAATGGAATCATGGGATTCTCCTCAAAATTCTGTTTACTCCTGACAGGCAGGAGATGGTGATTGCATGAAACCTTCAACCACAAACTTCTGATCACATCCAAGTTATTCCCATGCATGAAGAAAAGTATTCATAAATAACCAAAGGACTTCCAATAGGTAAAACTTCACAAGTTAGAGACATGATTGGATTTCCACAAAAAAAATGTCATTTATACAATGAAAGAGGCAACATCAAACAGGAGCTTCTGCTACAGAGCTGGGACTGAGGAGGTTCTAAGGGTCACACACATTATTCTTTGGGCAGCAACTCACAGAATTCCTTTTCCATCAGAATTTGTGACATTATTTTCTGAAGAAATAAAAAGTAAATGAGGCAAATCCATTGCCAGTGCTGGATTAGCTGCTGTGCTCATCTCAAATAATATTTTCTCACATTTTTGTTGTCCACAAAAACCTTTATTCCCAAATTGTTGGAATAGGGGAGCCTCTTAGTTTTAGTATTTTAAACTTTGCAATGTAACTTTAAATTCATCAATTAATTGGTTTGGAAGTACTTTGTAAAATTAATATTTAATAATTTACCTTTTGCAGAGGAGTTAAATCTTAACCAGGGCTAAAGCATCACATGATCCAAGCACAAAGAGCTGTTTATACATCATGTAACAGCTTAAAAAAAACCCCTCAGTTTTCAGTGAATTTCAAGATAATTTATATAACTTATAGAATATAAAGCAAGTATGATATAAAGCTAAGGACCAAGGGTATAAATTAATCTGTCATGAAGCACTGAATCTATTATCCAGCCTTCAAAATAACAGAGCGATTTAAAAGCTGATTTTGAGGATACAAGAACTCACACAACTGAAATACCCAAGAGAGAAAATATCTAAAATATTAAAATCATGAAATCGTTAAGGCTGGAAAAGACCTTTAAGATCATCAAGTCCAACCATCAAGCTGCCCCACTACCATGTTCATCACTAACCATGTCCTCAAGGGCCACATCCACCCCTGTTTTGAACCCTTCCAGGGATGGGGACTCCACCAGGTTATTAAATCAATACAAAATGACTTGGGTCATTTTACAGGACTTGGTATCTGTGTCCCCACCATCCTGAAGACCGAGAAAAAGCAGCCCAAGGTTTCCATACTAAAAGTTGACCAAAAATAATCGATGTTTCATCAGGATATACAATATATGATTCATATTTCTAAGGAATTCCACACATGCTTTATGCTTTTATGGGCTCCTTTCACATGAAATGAACAAACATAAAGAGGGACTGAAAACGCAGTTTTAGCCCTTTTTTCCCACTTTCTTTGCCAGAGACCAGGACAAAGATCTAACTTAAGGTGCTGAATAATTAACAGGAATGAGCCAAGCTGAAACAGTGTTAAGGAATGATTAAAAGTTGACAGAAACAGCCAAGCCAAAAAACAAGAGTTAAAGAATTCTCCTCTCAACACAGGTTCCTTATTTCACAGTCCTTTTGATTCTTCTTTCTGCTGAAACATGGCCTGAAGGCAGCGTGAACACACATCAAACCCAAGCTTATTACTAAAGGAAAAGCCAGAGAGATAAATAGGGATGTGTTAGAAAAGGCAAGGAGGAATCTGAGATGAAAAATGTCCTGACTCAGTAACTATCTGCATCTTAATTGAGGAAGTGGGATGGGAGTGGTCAGAGAGAGCAAAGAGCACCTCGGAATGACAGAGCAGAAATATCTGTGTGTAGTTCTAGGCAGAAGGATGGCTGATTTCTTCTTCTCCAAGAGTAGTTCAGATTACAAGATGGGTAAGATCTCCACGGACAGGCTCTCCAGGAGAATTGTTCTACCACACCATCAACAAGGATTCCATGACTCCTATTGGACACGTGGCTTGAGAAGGGAAAAACCACACTGCAGGGTCACAGTGGGATCTTTTGATCAGAGACCTGTTCCAGGTAGGCGGGGGGATGATGTTGAATTAGGAAATATCACAAATATGGCCAAGATTTGTTTCACAACTCAATGCCAGGAAGGAACGTCAAAATGGAGCTTGTGAGCTTTAATGGGATTGAAATGGGACAAACATGGAAAAAGGTCTAAAATACGGCTACAAAGCATAAATACTGAAAATAACTAGTGAATATAATCAATAGGAAAAGTAAAGATTACTGGTTCATAAAAGAACTCACTGAGTAGGAAAATGCAATTGTGATGAAGAACTAATGATCACTGGCATTTACTCAGACACACGTAACACTCATCTTTTCAGAAGCAATCATCCAGCAGGGTTTGGATGTGGAAGAATAAAGGCAGTTGAGAGTCATCAGGTTTTGCATGATTGTTTTTCTTTCCTGATGACATCAATAAAAGCCTTCCAGTACAGGGAATTTTTCATGGCTCAAGGGAAAGGGCAGAACAAGGTGACCTGTTGCACCCCACGGAACCGATCACTGGTTTAGGGCTCTCTGCTTGCTGACTTTACGGGCCTTCTGAGGGGAACACGGCAAGAATTTCACAGCATCACAGAGTCACAGAATCTGCTGAGTTGGAAGGGACCCACAAAGATTATCCAGTCCAACCCTCAGCCCTGCACAGGACCAAGAGTCACCCCAGGTGTCCCAGAGGATCATCCAAATGCTCCTGGACCTCTGGCAGCCTTGGTGCTGTGACCACCGCCCTGGGGAGCCTATTCAGTGCCCAGCCACCCTCTGGGGGAAGAACCTTTTTCTAAGATGCAACCTAAACCTGCCCTGATACAACTTCAGGCCATTCCCTGGAGTCCTGTCCCTGATCCCCATAGAGCAGAGATCAGTGCCTGCCCCTCACGAGGAAGTTGTGACTGCAACAAAGTCTCCCCTCAGTCTCTCACCACAGAGGGACACAGGGCACACAGACACCAGCTAGGACAAAGAGAAGGTCTCTGATGGCCACGTAGGTAAAACCCACCCTGTTCCAAATGGCTCCCCTCAGCCACCTTCTCTCTATTGTCTCCTCCTGCAGCTGGAACTGTGTGAAGGTGCTTTTACTCTGTAGATTTGGGCTTACTCAAATACAATGGAAATTATATTCTTAACTTAAGGTG